GAATGTGAGTTACACGTCAGTGTTATTGAGCCATCATTTATGCATATGACAGCTGTGTTCATCTGATATGAGGAGACATGGGAATATCTCCCTTTGAATCATCTCTGTAGCTTTGTTCCTCTGACTGGTTTTAAATAAACCTCCATAGAGGCACAAGAGGAAAGAAGCTCTTTATCAGGCAGTTTTAGTCTTTCCCTTTGTTATTGTTTTCTAGTTTTCTATCACTGACTGATGTATTTATTGTTTCTGCAAATCTTCAAGCATGCACACACACACACACACACACAAACACACACACACACACACTCACAGTATCATAAAAGATGTCCCCTGTCCATCAGCACGGGCTAGCAGGGAAGGTGCAGAGGTCAGGTTTTAAGGGTCAGGGTCAACTAATCAGTCACTTCATCAACTCATTGCTCTGCTTGTTAATTAGAGGATTAAAGCAGACAGGATGAGGTAAGTGCCACCTCAACAAACCCGTTTTCATCATTGTCTCCTTTGTGTTAAATTTTAACCACAACTGATTTATTTACTGTATTCACACTGCTTCTTCTGAGTAGAAATTGTTTTCACTTTTTGATTAAACTAATTTATTTGCTTGATGTTTATTTAGCTCCTGATTTGTAAAGATTTAATAACTATAGTAGTGGTTTATTTTACATTATTTTACATTATTGAATATTCATCAGCAAAAGCTACAAAATGAACAGTCTGAACAGCATGCCTGCCAGACTGTTATAGGGATGTGCAAAAAACAGGACTTCCACTGTCTTCAAAGTGCCCCAAGAGACTATTTTGTGGTATGAGGGCATTTAATCCATGCGGGCAGACAGGAGCAGGCCAGTTCATGGGAGTTTCTCTCTATTCAGTCCATTTTGTTTGTGTCTTTGAAAAAAAAAAGTACCTCTTAAAGATCTGTCCCACCTTTTAAGAGCTGCTCCACACTGATTTATCTCAAATGAATCACTCACACACAGAGAGTTAGAGATCATCAAAGTCATTTAACTAAGTGTGCAAAAGAGCTCACAAACACAGATTAGAATTTCAGCTATCAGATGCCTCATTCATATCATTTACGATGGAAACCTAGATAAGAGACACTTTTAAAGGAGGATGAGTTAATCTACTCACCACATTAAACATCTAAATCCAAATAGATTTGAAAAGTTCTTCAAAGAGGTGGGAAGATAAGTTGGAGAGTATGGGAACACCTGAGCAAACACACACACACATGTATGTGCAGGAGCCTGTAGAATCACTTGGCTTTGTAAATCTGGCAGGTAACTGATATCATATTCAAATTGGTGCATTAAATCTTCCTCTTTTATACTTTAATCTGAGAAATATTCAAATATGAAGCTGTCTGTAAGATAAGACTTAAACAGGACAATCAGATATAACGATGATAAGATCGTAGTTTCCACTGAAACTGTAGAGTGATTGAAAGCAGGTTACTGAAGCTGCATTTGGGTGTTAGCAAAACAACAGGGGAATTTTTTTGCCCCATCTATTCTTATTTAGCGAGACCATGTGTCGGTTTGAACTGCTATATCTTACTAAAGTCACTTTGGAAACTAATGCGCAAGCTCGAAAACATTGAGGCCATAAAGTCTGGCATATGGAATGCTGAGTTAATCAAAGGCTCCATCCTTGCATCTGGAGCAGACACACTGGGAAAGCATTCTGACATGCTTGCTTGAGAATGTGCATGAGCATATGTCTGTGTGTTTGTGCCTCAGAATCATGCGATTGCTGTCACCCTTTAAACTGATGGGGATATTTGTGTGCCTGGTCCGAGTGCTTGTGTTTGCACAGTATCTTGTTCTGTTGTTTCCCTCTTCACCGCTTCACTCTTTCAAATTTAAAGTGCTGTTAAAATAATTCAAAGAAAGGATGCCAGATTTATAATTGAATGCATTCTATTTTTTCAATAACTTTTCCCAGCCAAATAGTTATCTCAGGGATAGTGAGTGTTACAGTAGACAGAAGAGGCCTCATCTATCTTGCTTTCCTCTCTCTCCTTTTACTTTTAGCTGTTTATCATAAGTGTAATAGAAGTTAAGCTTTTTACTGAACAATAACAGCCCTGAATCTCTATATTACTTGCAAAGAAAGCTGAAGGTACAAACATTCATTTTTATATGGAATATAATCAAAACGCAGCCCATTTGTTGGCTCTGTTTAGCTCAAGTAATCTGCTTTTCCAAAGATGAACCCCCAGATCATGTTTCTCCTGCTTGGCTCATTCTTGTAACTATACACAGTCATCACTGCTCCCAACAGAAAACTAATGCTCCAGTTTCACTGCAGATAAAAATCTTATGGAGACATATGTGACGTACACTGTGCATTACAGTGTTAGTAGAGTAGCTTCCACTGAATATAGTCATAACAGTTTAAAAAGGAGAGGAGAAAGAAACTCTGTAAAGCTTCTTAATGTGCTTATTGGAACACTTCTCACTAGGCCAGCATAGTCTCTCTGGATTCTTAGAAAGGCAGATAAGAAGTTAAGAAGAAGAGATTATGATTATGAATGACATACATGGTGACAGGATAACATGACAAGCAAAAAACAGGGCCACAAAAAAAGAAACCAGAGCAGAAAATGAGCACTGGAGAGAGTACGGAAACAAAGAAGGCTTCAGTGTTTTCAATCTTACACACGACTGAAGGGGATGATAGCTTAATATAGTTCTAATAGGGGAACAAATTGTGCGGTGTTCATCTTACAGAACTGCAGAGTGACTAATCACACAAGATGTTTCCTTTATCCACACACGCAGACGTCAGTGTACGGTTTCTCTGTGGCAATAACAGCCATTGAAACCCTTTAGCCCAGTCTAAAAAAAAAAGGTACAAGAAAATATTAAATAAAACAACAAAGCCTACAGTGGAGTCCAATGATGAATACACTGAACAATTCAGCTAACGTTGAGATGGAGTTTGTCTGTGTGATGAAATGACCTGTACCACATGGTCTATGTGAGCTTCATACTGGAGCAACTGTATACGGTCACTGCTTTTACACCCACTAAGACCATATCTGCAAGAACATCTGATCAGTCAAAGCAGCCAGCTGCAGAATGAGAGAAGAGCAAGAATGAAAGTGTGAGAGGCAGAGAGGGGGCCATGTAGTCAGACTCCATCTGCTGATCTGCGTCAGTCCAAGGAAGTTTCTGGCACATTTAGAGAAAGCTGATGCACTTTATCTCATGCCTTTACGGATGCCAACAACAGAATGCATAAAGGCGTGAAAATACTCTTGTCTTTGAAGTTGTGTTTTGCTTGCTTTCCTCTTGCAATGTCAACTAAAATTGTACAAAATTCAGCGTCAAGAAATGCATGTTTTTAGCTGATTTGCTATTTCAATTATGTAACCAACGTGTACCACAACTAGCACAACTCACACATGTGTGCAGGCACAAAAAAAACATTAAAAGTTTTTACAACCAACCATTTTCTTTATATGCTCAGTTCTTCGAGGTCCTGCACATTAAGGATTAAAAGGAAAATATACAATATTTTGAGATTAATGAGGAAATTAAGGAAATAAATAAAATAAAAATTAATAAATGGTGTAATTACACGACAAAATAAACTATACTGTCAAATGTTATCAGTTGCAGTAGAACTATAGTAGTACTACAGGCTAAACGTATGGTCTGGAAAAACCCTTGTCCAATGCAAATTATAACTTATTTCTATATCTGTATTTTGTACTGCAATTTATGTTTTTAAAATATTTACTCTTTGCTTGTGAAATGTGATACAAAATTGGTTTGAATAAATAGATGTGGTTTGAATAAACAGATGTGGTGAAGATCTTAGATAAATCATAAGTGCAACTTAGCCTCTATGGTTCAGATTTCTGCAGAATCTAAACACTTTTTTTTATAAGCAGAGGCCGTAATGCACAAAAAGCTGTATTTGCACCCTAGAAAAGGAATTCCTGTGTTCATAGCATCAATTGCTGGTGCGAGTCGTGAGACAGCAGACATGACAGCCAGTCGATTAAATTCTACATCACGCATGGTTTCATGAGCTGATGACAACAGCATTACATAGCTTGGCATGCCAAGAAGCTTCAAGTATATTAAAACCCGATGGCGTATGGTTTTTTGCCAGATATTTTTCCTTTGTAACTCTAATCTGCCACGTCAGCTAAGCCAACGTGGTTTTCAAACTGTCCAGATCTATCAGATGTTACACCTCAGTCAGGGCTCCTTCAAACACAGTGACATGCAATCAGAGGCCGGCCTGCCCGTGCAAAGACAGCACGGAGAATTGTCAGCTGACGAAAGAATGGAAAAACTGTGTTTTGGGTTTTGTCTGTAAAGGCTCTTGCCAAAAGGAAAGCTCCGGTGTTTTCCTCTCCACGTGGTATAATGTATTCGTCCCGCCAATGAAACACTATTCCGGCTGGCGGCAAGGACCGCCAGCCACCTGAGAGCCATTCCCACAATACCCCATCCCCTGTCAGAGCCAGACCCAGCCATCACTGGATATCTGGGGCAGATGGAAGGATGATGAGAGGACGGCTGAAGAGAAGAGGAATGTGAAGGAACAATGAATAGGAGCAGATGGCAAGAAAAAAGGGAGGGAACGAGGGAACTTGGCATCTTTCTCTCTCTTAAAGGAAAACTGGATGATTGTTGATTTCTGAGTGCTCTGTGCACCACCGCCCAATATGCAACACGATACTACTATTCACAGATGTTAACATAGCAACCAACAACACAATACCATACACACAGACACATCCAGTTGCCCCTTACCCACTGTTTATGACGCACCACCTCTTCTGCAACCCTCTGTCCAGGTGTGTCCAGATGCAGAGAACGCTCGTACACAGTGACCATTTGAGCAATATTCTTAATTGGAACAATGGCCTCTTTACAATCTTTTATCCCCTATTTCTGCTAATAATGTTTGTTCAATCTGCATGGAATTAAGCCTAAACACACATTTGGACTGCTGGTTTGGCAAAGCTTATGTACCTTCTTTCATTGTCATCCAGGTGAGCGAACAGCACATTCTTGGAGATAGCCTTTGCCAAGGCCGTCATGGTCTTGTAGTCTTTTGGAATCACCTGCAAAGACAAAGAAGTGATTACAGCAAAGTGGACAGCAACAACAAAGTGCAGGTGGAGACATGAAACAAACCAGCACTAACGCACATGAGGAAAAACTTCAAAAGCTCATGAAATTGAGTAATTAAAGAGCAGCATATTGGCAAAGTCTAAAAGGAATACTGCACACGTGTGTATTTCTGGGGAAGCCCATCTGTTCAGGGATTACACCCAAAATGTCACATAGACCCAAAAAAATTCACATAAGCCCAAATCTCATTCATAAAACATGCATTTTCATGTCCAAGACTGCGGTGTGTGCTCATGGAAAGGGCTCGGCAACATCTGAAGCCACAACAAAGCTGAACATTGAAGTCTGTCTTTATGAGCAGGAATCATAGAAGAGAGCTTACACTTATTTAACCGAAGTGTAAAAACTCCAATGGAAAGATAGAAGGCAAGCTTTGAATGACTAATTTTATTCATTTCTTTATTTTTGGAGTGATTGTGTAAAGGGAGCGCAGTGTGTGTGCATGTGTGTGCTGCCTCTCATTTTGGGCTAGGGGAGGAGTTAGGCTGTAATTAAGTTAAGGCAACAGATGTCTCCACATGAAGACGACCACACTGTGCTGTGCACAATGTGCACACAAACGTGCACACAACCACATCACATGGGAAATACGAAATCTGCCTACATTTTATCTGTCTGTAGAACTTCAGGCCTGGCTGTCCAGCAGGCAGAACAAGAAATAGGCCGGTCAAGAATGGAAATTTAAATGGCGGACAGATTTTAGGTCAGCCTATTAATCTTCTATAAGATCCCGATCTGATGCTGTCACCTAAGAGATTATTAAATGTCAGGGAACTTAGCTTGTTACCAGTTTGCCAGAGATATTTGCTTTCCAAGTTATGATTTGAAATCTGTTCATTTAAATTGTCTAAAAAGTTGACATTTTTATCCCTAAAAAAACATTGCTCAAGACGACAGATTGTTTAGTAAAAGAATATCAATCAAATTCAGGGGATGAACAATATGTACTCGGCTTTCAGAATGCAGAGCAACAATTTACTAATTACTTATCATCCAACCAACAGTGTTTCATCCATTATTACTGTAGCTGGGATACATGCAGCTGCTAACTGTTCTGCTAACACTAGCTAAGACCTGACAGACAGGCATTTTAGCAATTGTGAGATGTTAAGAATTTATAGCAACAGCATTTTAATTAGATGAACAGCGCCGGCTAATTGATTGCTTCTGTTAAACCAACTGTTTTCATCATGTCTTAATTAAAAGTGATGAAATAAAATGTCAATGCACATATTAAGACTGTAAGTGTGTGGGAGTGTGTGTGGTAACCTCATCAAAGCGAGAGTCCATACTGAGGCAACAATGTACTTTCTGTGCTGATTTGATTTTGATGAACTTTCCTCTGATGGGTCTGTTTCATAAGTTAAGCACAGGCAGCAGTTTCTTGCTCACATGCTGCTGATGTGGCATGGTGAACTGTCGTGTGTGTCTATGCGCGTATCCATGCATCTGATGGCACAAAGGGAAAGTAGCTAAAGAGGACGGCTGTGACAACGACGCTCAACTGCAGAGTCCAGGAAAGACTTTGGAGTCTCTGAATTCAGTAATCCAAATGACAACGTTCCAGCTGCCATGTTGTTGCACTGTGTTGATGGGGATTCATGCTGTCATTGACCGGGATTCATGCTGTCATTACACAGCAATTCCTGTCAAGCTAATTCCAACCGAACAAGCACAGAGTGTAAGTAGGAGCACATGTATGTGTGTGTGTGTAAATCTAGGTGTGCGAAAACACTTTAAACAAAACCAATACTAGAAGTATTGTGTGTCTGTCTGTTTATGTATAAATACATATTTGAATAAAATTAAATTATATATTAAACATTATAATTCAATCTGAAATTTAACTAAAAACAGACAAAGTACGTTCTGTTTTCGTGGTTTGCGGCGATGGTTAACAATTTTGACACAAAACGAGAGCTGCTTGGTAAGCTGACCTTGCGTACGTAGCTGACAGCATCCTCCTCAGTGTACACTTCTGCACTGACTCCTCCCCTGCGGCGGCGGGCTTTGACGACAGGGTTCGGTGGTGGTGGAGACACCTCATCATCGTGCGAGTCTGACTGGCTGTTAGATTTTTGCCGTGCCATGATCTGCTTGCATTCTTCCTGTAAAAAAAATAAAAATCAGATTTTTTTTAAAGAAAGAAAACGACAAAAACAAAGCACAAATAACTGGATGCTCTGTCAGAGCCACTCCCTGATGACAAATTCTTCAAAAGCATAAAATATGTATAAGAGAAACACATGCATTTACAATTGTAGCTGCAGGCAAGGCAAACTAGATCATCTCACAGCATCTGTTTTTGTTATTTTTTTATTTTAGCTTAGAAATCATCACATGAATAAGAGTTGGCAAACTTTACTGACAAACTTTTAAACCTCAATCATCATGTGGACTCCAAATCATATCAGATCACATAAAATACGTACTGCAGAGTGCATGCTTTGTAGGCGTCTGGCAAAGCGTGTTGTGAAAGAGATCAAATTTAAATATTTGTAGCTCTCAACTTGAAAAGACAAAAAAACTGAGCCAGATACTGTCTGTCTCTGTGTTTTACAAAGAGAGATAAAGACATAAAGAGGATGCCCCTGTACTGCTACTCTGCAGGTGATGAATTATTAAAAGCAAATGTGAATAAGACATTGGCATACACAATTTAAGCACCTTGGGACAAAAGCAATGGGATCATAGTTTGTGTTTGATTGGTTTTGTATGATGGTGTGCAATCTTGTTCCTGCCTTTGAGTGTCATGTGTGGCACAGAAGGGACTGAGTAGGCTGGGTTTAATTCCCCATCACATGTTTGGGTGGGATAATAGCATCTAAGATACTTTTTGGAACATTTCAGTATATGTAAGCACTTTAGTTTGCTTATACAACGCCCCTCTGCAGTTAGAAATGAAACAAAGACTTCTCACTAAGACAAAAAACATTTGGCATGAAGCTGCAGCAGAGAAATAGGACAACACAAAAGCAACAGAAAGAGAGCTCCTGTTTAAACAGATTTTACAGTCTCAGTGGTATGTCTTTCAACCTGAATTCATGACAAAAAGAAAGTGTTCCAATATTTAAATTCTGTAAGTAAGCAGTCACAATCTAAAAAAAAAAAATCAGACCTCTTCTCCCCTCTAAGCAGATGCTTATCATGCCACATCAGGTGTTTTGAGAGTAGTCATCTTTCAGTCGCCAGAGCAGTGTTTTTTGTGTGGCTTTATGTCACCGCATGAGCATTGTGTTCTTCCCGGTTCTGAGTTCAAATAACGTGACTGTACCACTGCTCTCAAAGCATTATTTTTAATCCTGCCAACTTGGATGAGGGAGAAGAAAAAGAACACCTTCAGCAGGAAGGATTTAGTAATTACCGAAAGCACTGAGCAGAAACGAATGCTGGTTCACTCTGCCCACTCCAGTGAGCTGTTTTCACCCACTCACTGGAGTCTTGAAATGGCCCAGTGATGTTCCGTAGAGGTGAGGTGAAAACACAAATGTTTGCAACATTCACCCTGTACTTTTTGTGGAAACTTTCCACCCAGACCCTTTGTAAAAATGTTCAGATCATCAGTGGGTGAGAGGATGCAGGAAAAGCTCAGCAAACATCCGGTAGCATTTGCTGCAACTGTGCTTTCGTGTGAGATTAGATTTTTTTCCGCAGGCTCCAAACTATTGTTGATAAATGCAACACAAAAAGGAAGCTTAGTCACTATTCTCGGGATGCTGGAAAAGAAAAGAGTGTTTTTTTACCACAATTCTACATCACATCGCTCGCTACAGAAATTCCTCCATACAGGGCTTCAGCAGCTGGGACAGAACGCCTCTCCAGCAGAAAGCCTCCTGCTGTGATGAGCTTTTGTTAGCAGCAACTGCCCACAAAAGTCCGGATCAAAAAGTGTGAAAGGTCTCCTCAACATCTTTTGGGTTCATGTGTGAAAACGGCTGCACTTAAAGCGAAACTGAAGAAAAAAACAGAGGTGAGATGAGAAATGACTTGTTAGAATCACCCACTGGAAACAATGGAGCCCGAAAGAGTGGGAAACTGACAGACAGTGAGGAGATTTAACAGTCAAACCTAGACTTCACATCTCAGGCATTCTCTGCATTTTGTTTTTTGAGCTGATTCAATACATATAAAGACGTAAAATGTAAAATATCCATGCAACAATGGTATTAAGGATAAATAAGCTGCTTAAAATGTCCATTAGGGATGTTTCAGCCTACTAGGGAATTATTGACTACGTCTCTGAGGTGGTGTGCTCTCATCTAATGATTTCTTGTCACTGCATCCCTCAGTTTCCCTCCCTCCTGTGTTTGACTTTGTGTTCCTACATTCTGAGGTTATCGTGATGCTCTGATCAGAGGAGATATTGTAGATTCGGCACACAACCATGAGACAGACGAGCAAGCAAACATTCTCCGAGGCAAACGCATTTATACACTTTTTGCTTACGCATAGTCACTGCCTGAGGGAACACAGCCAGCATGAGGAGAAGATGGAGCACAAGCACTACACACAACCTGCCCCTTGCCAACACATGCATAAGCAGACTGCAGGTGGAGATGTGAGCTCACACATTTAGTTAAATCAGGTACGCGATCTGGTAACACGCTGCATCTTCCAAAGAGCAACGTAACAGAACAACAGTGAAGTAACAGCAAGTCCGAGTCACAAAGTAGCACATATGGCACACACATGTTGTTCAGTAATGAACAGACAGGTAAATTAAAAAACACACTCTTTTAAATCACTCTGAACGCTTACATTGTTCAACAAAAACTTGCAAAGAATAGTATCCGACTTTCTCAAGCAAACTAACTCCACGCTAAGTTTAGAATCACAAGTATTTACCATGACATGGAGGGCCCTTGGCCAGGCCTGCTATGTGTCCCTCAGCCGGTCAGAGGCACCAGACATCAAGTCAATGTGTGTGTGTGTCCAAGTGAGCATGGGAATCAACACACATGGATTCCCACCTCATACACACCTGACATGCATGTCACAGTGCATCAGCATCTTCTCATCCTTACACAGAATATAGGTAAATAATCCAAACTGCTGTGTGACGAAGAGTGAAGAAGCGGCAGAATGTCTGCGATCCCCGGAACACAACAGCTAAAGAACAAGGCTACTGATGAAAACACTGATCACAGCAAAAAGCCCGTCTCTCCATCGCTGCTGCGCAACTCTGTGTCACCGCTTTTCTCCCCTCTCTCCGGCTCTCTCTCCTCACACTCACAATCAGGTGGCGCAACGAGCGGGCTCTTCTTGCTACCCTCTGTCACTATGACAACCGGGCACTGTGAAGCATCCTGAACAGTTGGTGGTGTGTCTGAACAGGAAGCGACGGTGCCTCGCACACCTACGTCCATACACACCCGTTCTGACGCCTGTTAACACCTTGCATCCCTCACATCTGAGCGAATGGGTTGACAGAAGGGAGAACGTCACTCCGCTCAGCATGGGCCTCTGTTCTGACCAAATGGAGTGTCTGTTTTGAATGTTTTGCTCCAATAAATGGGTCTATACATTCCCTTAAGGATACGTCATCGCCCAATACACCCCCCTGTGTGTGCATGGCACTGTTCTTTTGCGCTCCTTTCTGATCTCGAGACCTCCCCCACTCCTCCCCCCCGCTCATGTTTTGCTCTTCGGTCAGAAATCAAGTGAGGACTTTGTGCCTGGCTCCAACAAATCTTTTTATTGTTGAGCGAACAGTAACCAAGCATAAGGACCCAAACAAAACATGCAGATAGGCTTCTGATGTTTGACAGCTGGGAGGGGGGTCAACACCAAAGGTATCATTTGACCAAAGTGAGCTGAGAGCTGCAGCTTTAACTCAGAGAAAAAGAGACGATGCAGTTTAAAACCGGATTTGGTCTTTCTACAGTAGCTGAGCAGACACACAACGGCCCATTTTGCAGCTGTCTAGGCAAAAGCATGATAATCCCACATTTAATGTTCTGCCTCCATTTTCCAGCATGTTTTCGGCATTGGAATTAGTGCTATTGCCCTACATTACGCTGTCCCTCCTTCTCCCCTATGCTCTCCTTGCGTCATAAGCAGCAGCTGTGTGCCAGAGAGAGGACCGACGAGGAGAAAGACAAGAGGAGACAGAGGGTACAAGAAAAAGCAGGATAAAACAGCTCTTTTAAAAGTAGCCTTTCCATTAGTGATGAGGTAACGGATTAAAAAATCTTAGATAAAAGATGACAGATGACACAAATCCAATCCATCACCTTACACTTACTTTGCATAAAGTCACTGTTATAAAACCATCATCAGTTTAACTTTTAACTAATCAATTTTTTTTTTATTCAAATGTATCCATGTTGTACTGTTCATTTCCTGAACAGAGCAAATAGAAAAAAGTTATGACTAACCCCGTTTAGAATAGCTGTGACTGACCAATATCAATCAGCCGCTCCTCATCAACAACAGACCAAGGAATTAAGCCTATCTACGAGTATTTATGGGTTTAGAGCACAAATACATCAAAGCGTCAATTCTTCCATTCAGTTAATTACTGATATTCGAAAGAGAAGAGCAAACATCCGTAAGGGGTTACCTTTTGCAGCCTACATCCTGAGACAAAGACAGTTTTACTCTCCATTGCTGGGACTCAAAGGATGAGAGTGAACCAAAAACAACAAGATACCACACACACAATCACACACAGGTAATGAAGCATGCAGAGCTGATCCACCAGCCTGTTCATCACTCTGTTCCACACCATTTCAGAACCACAATAGACAGAATGTTCACGGCTTTATTAAGCCTGACAGTGCCGATGATGGTCACTCTGTTTAATGTTGCAGCACACACAAGCTTGTCTCCTCGTTCAAATGAAATCCCTCCATTGAGCTAGATTATTTTTAGAGAGGAATCTTAAAAACTACAGAAATTTGTGCTACAGTTTCTACATCAGCAGACACAAATGATTGACAGAAGAGAAAATTATTGTAACAGGAATACTTCACTGAATGATTGTATAGGCTTATATCATATTTTACAGACTAATCCAACTTATCCAATCTATGAAATAATAATCACTCTTTGTTGGATAATTACAATATAAATGACTGTTACCTGTAGCCCAGGAGTTTCAACCCAGCTCTCCTGCTTTACCTGGGCTGTTTTGCTTAGAGTTTTGTTTAAGTGCTGCATGTTTCCCTGGATGTCTTTTTTTTCTCTTACATACCTAAGATTGATAGAGGAAGCTAAAGGGATGCAACAGGCACATGAAAGAGAACAAAGAAGGACCACCGTGGAGACAGAGGCTGGGGATCCAGTTTACCTGTAGGAACCCTGGGCAAGTCAGGGAGGAGGAGGTTTAGACCTGGGTCACTGCGCACAACCCAGGATGATTTGACAAACCACCCAGCGCTCATTATAGTGACGAGTGGGTTTAAAGTATGGAGACACTGAACATTTGGGCTCTAGGATTTCAGTACTTTGTGAGAAACGCTTTTTGTGATCTTGACCTAAACTAAAAAAACCCTATAATGATTAAATTTATTTTACAGACTCACTGACTGATTGGAAGGAGGAAAAGGGAGGGCACAGATAAATAAAAAGACATACAAAGACAGCAAGGAGATAGGGGAGATAATCTCAAGCATAATTCTCCTCTAAATGCTCTCACTAGACTCAACAAACAACAAGCCCTCCCTGATGAATTGTCAATCAGAGGCCTTTGAGGGGACTGGTGGATTTGTTATGATAGGTCCTGGTGACAGCTGAATGGCTGGCAGCGCAGAGAGTGTTCTCATCTTACATGTGGGGAGGAGATGGTGGCTGACTGACACACTGACAGAGTGAAGAGCTCTCCCATAATGCAACATGAAGAAATATCTCACAAACAACCGATGCATGGTTCAAATTAGGTTTAATAGACGTGTTTTATAATGCTGTCTCTAGCTAGAGAATCCAAAATCATTGTCACACGAGCCTTCACAGAGATGTAGACAGATGCAAAGACACAAGCGTGCCACTTGTTGTCAGTCTGCTGCCACGTCTTACGGCAGAAACTGTTAAAGGCTGCTATAGTTCAAAACTATCTCTGCACATAAATGTTATAAGTGTGATCAATATTGGCATTGGAATATATTAAATAGTAAAAATTGGCATGTCCTTAAACATCTTGAAGGAGAAAGCCTGTGATATCTTTCTGTTAATATAGTCAAATATTGTCCAAATAAAGTCCTAAAATGTAACTAATAATTTCTTGAACTAATATGTTATATCGGCTACGTATTTCCAAAATATCTTACCACATGTTATGGTCAGACAGGCCATTAACAGTGGAATAGAAATAAACAAATAAAAAGCCACAACATCTCTTTAACATGGCAGTATTGAGTTTGCTCATGATGTTGTCAACAGTAATCCATAAAACTATTCACAGTCATTTTATGGTAATGAAAAAAATGCAAGAACATTTTTGAAAAAAATGCTTGTGAGATGCGAAAACCTGTCAGATGAGATCACAGAGCAGCGCTTCAACTCATGTCCAAACACCCCAGACACGCAGATGGAGTTGAGAAGTGGCAGCTGTCACTGGGCTGAACATTGAGATACCAGTGCAGGTGGTATGTTATGCAAAGATCAAAGTGTTACTTTCAACATAGCGGCAGTGAAAATTACAGAAGGAGCACATGAACAAATCTTAAGTCATCAGATTCATTCTGATGGAAAGGCACTGACAGAGAGGAGGAAAGAGTGGTCATGGATTTATCTGTGGGCAAATCCAGTAACATTGCTCATAGGATCCCTAAACACTGTTATAACTGCAGAAGATCCACTTTGCCAAATTTAAGAGAGCATCTGTGGTTCATCTGTGGATCTTTCATAAATGACATATCACGCCCACACATTGGTAACAGTTTATGCAGACTGTTAGCAAGAAGGGCTGTGCAACACTAATTCAACCATCACTTATAAACCCATCATCATGGCCCCAAGGACCGCAACAACTGTTTGTTTTCAGACGGGATCCTTTGGTATTTATAAATTCAATAGCCCTGTCGGGGAAAGAACTGGTGTTGGACTAGAAGTTTCAATATAAATAAGACACTCAATCAAATGCTGAATTTCCATCAATACATCGATTTTCTTATTCCCAACGGGAAGTAGGGGGGCTGGAGCCTATCCCAGCTGGCAACGGGCGAGAGGAGGGGTACACCCTGGACAGGTTGCCCATCCGCCGCAGGGCCACCCACTGACAACCACACACACTCACATTCAGAGGCTGAATTTCAAATGTTCAATTCCAAAGTGAAGAGTGATTCTGAAGTGAAGAGCAAATAAGATAATTCAGACTGAATGGTAATGTGTCTAAACTTAGAGTTCACTTCACCTGCAAATATACACACCATCCTGACAGAAACAAGGGTATGAGAACACCCATCCTTAGCAACGAATGCAAGGATCAAAGACATGATTACTATGCATTAGTGGGCAGGATGAAAAGAAGTAAGATGCCTGCTTTTTGTACAATTACAACATCAGACTAAAGATGTGTTTTTACTTAACAACAAAAGTTAAAATCATCAGACTCATAAATTAGAGACCTCTCAAGAAAAGAAAAAGAAAACCAGAGGGAAAAAAAGACGGTAATAATACTAAAAGTGCGGTTTGAAATAGATACGGTGCAGATTTTAAATTAAGTTAGGTCTGTCAAAAGAGGAGATATAATATGTCCCTGAAATCTAATTGTCACGCAGCAAAAACCTGAACAGATTAGAACACAAAGCAGAATAGACTATAGGCTATCTGTCCTCTACCGTTGCCTCGGTTACCGCCTGTAGTGGGCAATGAGTCAGAATGACCATGAGAGAAGAAAGAAAAAGAAAAGTATGGAGGGTGAAAAACAGGAGAAAAAAAGTGTAAGTTTTGTTATCTTCTGCACTGTTATTTCTTTGAGAGCTTCCTGATATAAAGGAGTAGGAATCAGTGACCTGACACATTGGATCTGTTCAAAGTAATTTCATTCCTTGCAAAAACAAATGGGTACAGACAGTAAATTAAATGGACATTTAGGGTTAAGTGAAATTTAGTCCTAAAAAATTACCATGTGCAGTGGAAAAGCGACACAGTAAGCCTCTTAAAAAACTGGGACACCACAACAGCGTTCATGGCCTGTTTCAGCTCCACGTATGACTGACCTCACAACTCTGATTTGCTGGCCGTCTGCTGACGAGGAGGACATTTTCAGATTTCATCCAAAACAGCCCTGCACACCGAGTGATTTCCCTGACCGACATAAGAAGTCAAATCCAACTTCTAAAGCAAATCTTTTGATATTGCGCTCAGGGATAGAACATCTGTGATAACATGTTCTAAAGCATAAATATGTGTATTTCAGCGTACATGTGCGATGACTACATCACAAGGTGTGGCAACCAGCAGCAAAAACATATGATGTGCTTTAATACACATCGGTCAGGTCAGAAATAATAAATCCTATATATTGACAAGTTTTTGCAAGGCTATGTTGGTTATGTTGCCATACGCATATCTGTACTTCAACACTTTCTATCATCAATGCAAACTGCATAGATACATAAGGGTTGATCTGATTTACAAATGCAACAAAAATTTAAAGAATACACCTTTCGTTGTTCTTGACATGAAGCGATTTGAACACAATTTTAAAAAACAGATGTTATTAAGATGGCCAGCATGCAACATGCCATCTCAGCCCCAAATCACTAGCAAATCGTTTCTGCTGAGCCTTATCATTCCATTAGTATTCATGCTGCCTCTCTGACTATGCAGAACACATCAACAGTTGCACGATATGTCAACACAAGAGCTGAACATGGCCATTTTAGGCACTTTTGGTTCATAAACCTTAGCTTACTGACCAAAACAAATATAAATGAAAGTGTGCATTATCTTTAACATATATATATTAAAAAAAAAAAATATATATATATATATATATATATATATATATATATTAGATAGACACACACACACACACATACATATGGATAGATAAGGACATCCAGACACTCTACATCTGATCTCTCCTCACAATAACTTCTCCTGTTGGTGGGTGTTTTATCCCGGTCTGAACTCTCCTCTAGGCTACCATGAACATCTCGTAGCTTCAGCTCAAGCACCTTTATGACCTATTTGTACCAATAGAGTGGGTGAAGAGGCCATTGTCCAAACAAAGGAATCTCGTGATCCACACATGAGCCAAATAGTTCCCTCAAGTTGAACGGTAGGAGAGGACATCTATAGTGACTCCTATAAACTGTGATTGAACATTTTATGATGTTTTACAAAGGAGCGCGGTTAATAATCATTTTTTGTTTAGAATTATTGTAATCATTATTATGCTGTCCTTTTGTACAAACCAGGTTTTACAGTTCAACAGGCAGCTTACAAATCTTTGTATTTTTTTAAAAACATCTTGGATGCGTAAAACTTACTGTAACTCTAATGGTATCACCCATCAGTTGAGAAGACAGATACACACTCTTGGACAGAGTTGTCACGTTGATCGTGAGTAATAGGAGCCACCCCTCTTTCAATTTGTTTTGAAACTGGATTTTTTTTTCATTCACTTCAAAATTATTATTTTTTTAATGTACGGTAAATACTTTTAATGATGTGTCCTCTCTTTTGTCTAACTGCACACACATAGACAGACCAACAGATGGGCTGATACAAAAAGTCTGCTGTCTGAATGTGCAACGAGGACAGTGGCCTTTTATGGGTGCTCCTCTCACATTCCCTAATGGATTTCTATTATAGGATGAAAAATGAAAGCTCTATTATAGTGAGTTGGAGTCTATTCTTTTTTAATACTGCAGCAAGCTTTGTCATTTTTTTCTCAAAAACAAAATACAGCTGAGATGGACTACAGGTTGTGTCCCAATTAATCATTGTATACTTGATAAGACATAAACAAATCCCTTTACATATTCTATAAATAGAAAAAATAGTTACAAACGCATGAATGAGCATGGACAGCAGCAACAGCCATAACCCAAAGTAAGCTTGGATCAAAACAATGCAAACAGGTGCTCAAAGTGAACTGTATCACCAACCTTTTCCAGCTTTTCAAAATGCTCCCGCAGAAATTTCATAGGACGCTCTGGCTTGGCGATGCAGAGGTTCACAATGCACTCTTTGAGGATCTGCTGGATGTTGTGCTTTTGCACAAAGATTTCACAGCTCTTCAAACTCTCGTCTTCTTCCAGAGTGGAGGAGGAGGTGGCCATCTTATCTTTTATCTCTGTGGCAAGGGAGAATACAGGGTGGACCATGAGAAGAGGGGAGGGAAAGCAGCAAAGAAAAAGGGGTAGAACAGAATAACGGGGGGGGAAAGGAAGGTTGAGGAGAACAGAAACATGGAAGGGAGGGGTGAAGGGGTGAAATGGGGAACACATAAAAGCGTGATAATAGAACAATAATGAGAGAATAGAGGAATAGTTGATTGTGGAAAGAATTTCATGACATGAATCTGTCTCTGTCAATGATGTGCTGCGCACGATGCCCTCTGATTATGGAAACAGGTGTTTGTCTGATGTGGGCTTGTAGATTTCTAACTTGCCTTGGCATAATGTTGATACAAACCCTGGCATTCGGTAAATATGTGAAGGTTAAAACTTTGACATTTCACTAAGACCTGAATAAACAAAATAAATACATATCTTCAGTTTGTTCCACCAGGGAGTCATACTGGAATTAAATGACCGATGCCCTCATTAAGTTTTTCATTACTGTTATTAAGTGCTTTCATTTGTTCAGTCATAAATTCTGCATTCCCATCCAATCAAAGATATTTAATAAAGAATACAAATAAAGAAGAATATTAAGAAGATGGGGCTGACCAACTTGTTTTCAAGGTCCCAGTAACTGGCCTAATAATTTACTCTAAGTATAAATATTAAAAACTTTCCAAGTCCCTGCAATTTTGTCTTGTTCACATTTCACAATGTCCCAACTTTTATTCAAAACTGAGTGGAATTCTCAACATGCCATCATCAGACTTACAGCACACATCCCTACGTGTGGTGGCACAGTAATGAAAGTGCACGTTACAAAATATCATATCAACAATGAATAAATGTCTAATCATATGTAATTCAATGTGTTTATCATGTGTTTTTTATATGTGAACATTAAGATCACAGATGAGTCAAATAACGTAACGTGACAGTATGTTTCTGGGCAAGTCAGGAAGTTAGCAGATTTGACTGTCTCGTTTCATTTCCTCAAGGGAAATATACGTTTCCTATATGGTTGTTGCTGCATTTGACATGAGAAATTTAGATTTAGTCTGAGAATTGCATTTTTCTGCCCAACAGTTGCCGCATTGTGTCGACACGTAGCAGCTTGTTGACTAAAAAAAGTGGCGCTTATGATGAAACTGAGTACCTGTGCAACTGCAGTCAAAAGGCAGCTAACCCTGCTAGCTCCGCTAACAGCACAATGACAACCAAACCCCAACGAAAAGAAACGACTGCGACCAGCAGAACGATAAACGCCTCGGAGGCTGTGGCCTAAGCGGCCATGGAGCTGGCGCGAGCCGGTCGGTGCTCCCGCTGGCGTCCCTACCGTTATTTCTGGAGGATGCTCAGTGAGAAAAAACACCTCGCTGGTGGCGGCAGATTGATGGGGTACCGCTTGTTAGCCGGGATGCTGCTGCTGCTGCTGCTCTGCCTCCTTTCTGCTATCGCCTCTCTCTGCGTCAGTCTCAATGACGTCAATCTGTCATCCTCTCCACCGCTGCGGCGCTCTCTCGAGGCAAGGAGCAGTGAGCACGTGAGCTCACACACACGCGCACAATAAGAAACTTCACGGAAACAAGCACCTGAAGGTATATTTGCACATCAAAGAATACATATGGGTGTTGTTTTTATGTCTAAATGTATTCATTTTTTTATCAATAAAGTAAATTATAATGACTATGCCTCTTTCCAAACACATACTGGTTCAGTTTTAAATACCAAAGTGATGATAAAGATCCACGTGCTATTACTACAAACCCCAGAATGTGCTTAAATGTGATAATATCGCTGCAATAGCAAAAGAAAAACACATAGAAAATAAACAGGAAAGACTATTTTTTAAAATATCTATAACTAAATGTCGGTACATGCTAAGGATTAAATTATTAAAACTAATTTACTTTTGTTGTTAGAAAACGTAACAAAAGTATGGTAGTGTATTTAGTCCTGGCAATGTGACTTGGCCTATCCCAGATAATGACTGCAGGTTTTGGTTGTTCGCTTTTTTTCTCTTCGGACTCTTTTTTTACGTTTTGAATTTAGTGTCTCCTAACAGTGACGGCTTTTCCAAACGTGAGCATTAAATCGTTTTAATGCCAAAGCCAAATTATTGACTTGTAATCGCGTTCGCATAAAGTTTGCGCATTTGAATTCAGAGCTAACGTAAAGCAGCTTTTTGTTTGTCGTGCAGCCACCTGTTACCATAGCGATATTCAAGATGGCAGCGGTAGCAGCTGGAGATGAACATGCTGCCTCTGAAGTTTTAAGAGGACTCGCCAGACATTTGAATTGCCTAAACGAGGATAACAAGGCAACAAGAAAGAGAGCTCTCGAGCTGATCAAGAAAGAGACAATAGATAAAGGACTTTCCAGTAGCGTTTTACAGGAAGTGTTCTTTGCCCTCCTCAAGCCTCTCCTCAAATGTCTGTCAGACCCAGTGGAGAAATGCAGAGAAACCACGATTGCAATGTTAACGGAATTTATTCGCTGTGTCCCAAAGCCGGAGGACTCGCTGCCTTATCTAATACCATGCCTGGCTCAGAGGTTTGGGGAGAAAGAAATCTTAGAGCCGGCGGAAGAGCTTCGCCTGTTGGCCATTGAGATGTTGAGTCTAACGGTAGAGGTGTGTGGGAAGCATTTAGCCCTCTATCTGAACGAAATTATCCGGATACTGCAGACAACCATCGTCGACCCCTTCCCGGATGTTAAGAGAGAAAGCTGTAAATGCACCATAAACTTTGCAAAGAGCGTCCCAGGTTAGTTGAGGATCTTTTGTTGCCCCTAAAGTCTGTTGCTATGGTTACGGGTCACCCTAGACCAGCTCACTTAAACTCCGCAAATACTCTGATCAGATAAAGGGGTATAAATACGTCTGAAAAAGACACCAATAAGACTGATTCAATCTATTAGTTGATAGTGATTTTGGAAGCTTAAGAATGACATCATTAGAATTATTGGCATTGAGTAATAAAAAGTCAAAATCCAAGTCAGGAAGTTGGATTTTGCTTGAAGTTGTTTGTTGTTTTTTTCACTCTTCAGAACACTTTCACTTGCAAGCCGACAGCCTTGTAAAGCCCCTCATGCTGACGATAGCTCATCAGCACTCCAGAGTACGGGTGTCAGTCATCGAGGCCACTGGGGCGGTTATTCAGCATGGCACTGGAAAGAACGTGGATGATGTACTCTCACACCTGGCACAAAGACTATTTGATGACTCACCACAGGTTCAGTGTGTACAGTTATTTATTAGAGGGAGCTCCTGATGAGCACCATATAACATCCTGTTTTTATGTTTTTGAAGGACCTTTGCTAAATCTAATCCACTTTTTTATTATGGTTGCATATACTTTACCTTTATATTGAAACATACTTATGCTAAATTGCCTCTTTTTTCCAAATCTTCTGCTTCAGGTGAGAAAAGCTGTAACTGCTGTCGTTGGTGATTGGCTGTTGCACATGAGAGACCGGTACTCCTATTTTCACAAACTCATTCCACTCCTGCTAAGCAGCATCAGTGATGAGATCCCAGAAATAAGGTGAAACCCTTTGGATCTTTTCCTATCTGTCTTTAATAAGAAGCCATCTTGTCATACATATACAGTGTAGATTCCTCCTAATATTTTAAACACCCAAATATGGCCTACAGAATTCTTGCAGCTGATTTATGGACACAGACGGGCGCACAGTGGGAGAAGGAGAATGAGGACGATATCAAGGACAAGATGGACTTTGATCTCACACCACCTCCACACTACCCTCCCGGAGGTCAGGCAGCCAGTAGTCTGTTATTCCTAAAAGATATGGGACACCTTCACGTTGCAAAAAAGATATGCAGGGCCAAGTGGGAGCATCAATTAGAGGAAATCTGATTTATGCTAAATTAAGGCTGTTGCCGAGAAAATTAATGATTGAGATTTCTGATTTAAGTCCTTGATTTTGAAGTTAAATTATTCTCTCAATTAATCCCCTTCTTGGGTATGCACATCTTTCAAGTTAGTAACAGGATTGATGACCAACATTAGTGTAAAAGTTTTCTTCTGGTTATTTAAATCAAAGCCCAAATTAATATTGACATGTCTTTTTTAACTCCACATCAGTCTAAGGCTAAATTTAGCCACCACACCCTACATCTTTTTGCGTTTTTGCAGCTGAATCTGGTTATAACATATAATAAAATTGGTGCAGTCTTAGACAGCGTTGCTGTCAGGGCATGTTCTGGCTTGCAGAGATAAGTGTTTGCCTTGGGGCCAGGTATGAACATGAACCTGAACATGGTCACAATGTGACCGAGTTTGTGTGGTCGGCCTTCTTTGCTGTACTTTAGATTAAAGCTCATCTATAAGTCTCACAGCTACACGTGTCACATTATGAATGAATAACACCTTTGCCTGCGGACAAGAAAGGAATGATTAGAAAAGAGAAAGAATGGGCTCCTCTTTTTTCCCCCTCCATGTCTTTCTCTTTGTTGCTGTCATAAATCTGCCAGCCCTCCCAGTGTGAAGAGGTCACTGCGAGACACTGGGAGACAAGCAGAAATGGTCTTGTCTGGGCTTGTCACGATGTCTTTCTCTGCTTTATCGCTGTCTTCCTTTAAACTTTGCTTCATTTCTCATCAGTGTTTTTTTTCTGGTGAAAGCCGAGGGAAGAAGGTGATTAGCGAGAAAGAGGAACAGAGGGTCGGGGATAGAGGGATGCAAAGATAAAAAGTTCCTAATGGGGAAAATCACAACTATAAAAAATAAGTGTAGTAGGCGTGATTCCCTGGATCCCAGTATGCAAACTTAGAGTTATTTAGTTTGTTTTGTAAAGAATTGGTTGAGATCATTCTGATGAAATACATTGATTACATTTGACTAGATAAGTTACCAATGTTCTTAAAAAACATTTTTTTCCTCCAGTTGAGCGTCCAGGGCTGGGCTGCAGAGAGTTGGTAGTGAGAAACCTGGGCAGGTTGGTGCCGGCAATAGCCCATGATGTGACTGACTGGCTGGTGCCAACTCGAGTCAGGACTTCCCAGCTTCTCTCTGTGCTGCTGCTACATGCCGAGGACCACAGCACTCAGCACCTGCAGCCTCTGCTGGCCACCCTCTACCGGGCGTGCACCGACACAGAGAGGGAGGTGGTCATCAGTGTGAGTCCCAGAGAACTTTTCATCAGATTACAGGATGTCATGCATCACTTTGTATTTCCTATCCGTGACTCATAAGTGCTCAGAGGGGAGCCAGATGAGGTAGCACGGGCATCTGGCCAGGATGCGTCCTGGACGCCTCCCTGGTTTGGTGCTCTGGGCACGCCCCATCAGGAGGAGACTCCGGGGAAGGCCCAGGACACGCTGGAGGGGCCTTGTCTCTCAGCTGTCCTGGGAACACCTCGGGATCCCCCCCCAGAGGAGCTGGTGGATGTAGTCGGAGCGGGGGGAAGTCTGGGATCCCCTACTCCGGCTGCTGCCCCCCGCAGCCCAACTCTGGATAAGCTGGGGAAAATGGATGGATGTAATCATACGTGGGAGTTCATATTTCTTGACCTCTGCGCAGACGCAGCAGAATAAAAGTGTTTTGTGATATTTCAGTTACACAGCATGATTTCAGGGCACATCTGTTGAGTCAGCAGTTTCGCCACCATGCATGTCTGTCAGCTGTGCTCAATTTAGACTGTGCAAAGCATGGTCAAGGACTTGGGATGCACCTGTTTACTTTAGAGGATTGTGTAGATCTTTGATGTCTGGCAAATTAAAAAAGGGCTTCCTTTCTTTCTCCCCCTTCACACTCCCTCATGCCTCTTTTCTCTCTTCCTGTATGTACCAATCAGTGCCTGGCAGCTGCAAAACTGATAGGGACCTTTGTCCCGCCACCTGTCTTCCTGAAGCTGATGCTGGAACATGTGACAGCTCCATGCTCTTCCTCCCACCCCTGGACAGCCCTCATGGTTCTGGCTTCAGTGCTGGGTGGCAGCTCCAGACCCCTTCTGAAACCCCATCTCCAGCAGATCGCCCAAACTCTGGCCCTGCCCTGTGTCTGCCAGGAATATCAACAGGTCAGCCGGGGAAGTCTTGGTCTGACTGTGGTTCATCTGTTTTTCGCTTGTTTACCTGAGAATGGCTGTTTTTCCAGTAATTCCACCTACTTCATTCCCACCCACCACAAACAGATCGTCACACTGTTCTTAACTCTCTGCATCAGCTGTTTCTCGTCAAGACTTCTTAGGTGATCGTGGCTGTGTCATCTTTTCGAAATAGGTATTACTGTGTGCTTTGTGTCATTCAGTAATTTTGCCGCCTAATTTTGAACTTTTTTTGGAAACAGTTTGTGATATCTCCTCAGAGGTTTTTAGTTTGGGGCTTTTCAATAGCCCTACTGTGCACGGTGAGTTCAGCGGGTTTGCTCTTATGTAATTTTGTATAATGCCAACGCTGCTGAAATGACAGTCAGGCCACATGGTGTTTTTCCAATCTAACATTTGAAGTCTCCGATCAAACCATATCTGCAAGCACGCAGCTTTGAAATGTGCCCCTCTTCCCTTTTTTCTTTACACCACATTAGGAATTATTAAAATACCTTTGAAGCTTCTTTCTAAATAGAAGTCTGCCAGTGGAAAAACCTAATCAAATCTGGGGCAGACCTATGCTTTGGTTTCCTTTCTCTTTTGTTCCAAATATGTTTCCCCTTGTTGTCTGGCAGAGAGCTATTTTCTGATGCCGCTGGAACACTGCCTCACCTTTCCCCATGACCTTATCTCCCCGTCTCAGAGAGGCCGTCAAGAATTTCTTCCCTGTGATAATAATAACAAAAATCCACTAATTTCTTGTGACCTTTGCCTGGCTTCTCTGACCCACTGAAGCAGAAAAGGGCTTTGTGTTTTTTATAGACACACATAAGGTCTTACCACCAGACTGCTGTTCAGCCATGCCATTAAAAGAATCCACGAAATTTCAAAGACTGCCCAGTCAAGGCTGGTGATAAAAAAAGAGAGGCAGCAGACCAACAATGTCCAGCAGGGTCAACCAGATAGAGAATTAACAGGACGGCAGTCACATGCCGCCACACAGATGCAGGGAGACCTCTGGTTCCTCTTGGTCTGTTTTTCCATCTGTCTTCCTTTGTCATCCCGTCTCACTGTTTTTTAGGGCAGATCATTAAACGGTGTCACTGAAAAGCTCGCCCAGACAAAGCACCTGCAACATTCTTTGACAGCGGGCATAGTTCACTGCAGGAAGGAGCTGGCCAACATGTGCATGTAAATTACACCGGGGGAGACGGGTGCGCCCACCATCAAGCAACAGTTATTTTTCTCTGAGCCACAAGGCTGGCCTACAGAATCTCTATTTTATTCTCATTTGACTGCTCGATGTTAGTTTTTTTTAGAAGCTTAATGACAGCAGAAATTTGGAAGATGGAGTGCCCTTGTCGTATTTTTTCTTTTACTTTTATATAACTTAAGTATTTGAAAAAACACTTGGGGTTATCTTAAAAGAATTATTTGCCACTTCAAACCAGAGTCAGAGAGAAGTAAGAGGTGATGTTTGACTTGGACATAATGAATGTCTGTTAAAAAATGAAATATAAATAATCTTCAAAGTGAACAGACGCAAAGGGAACGGCAGGCTCAGTGGGGAGCTGGAGAGCTGAAAGCTGATATATGATGCCTCTTTCCTGACTCAGCCACCAAGACTCTTTCAACTGTGTTTTCTTTTCTGTATTCAGTAGAAAGGAAAAGACAGCTTACAAAAATAAATCACAAATGCTCCGCAAGAATTTAGATATTAGTAGTAAATTGAGGATGAGGTCATGAGCTCCAGAGGAAATAAAAACTGAGCCAGTGGTTAAAGAAAACTATGTTTTTATGTGGGGTATCTTCTCGTCACGCACGGCTTCTATTTAGAGGGGTAATTCCACAGAAGCTCAGCCTCCATCAAACACCTCTCATAGCTGAGTCTAACTGTGATTAAGGCTGCCATGGTGACGGTGGCATTACAGCTACTGCTGTGCTGGAGTACATGGGCTAAGATAGTGAATTATTAGGCATATTTACAACCAGGTTATTAATAGTAAACAGGCTGTCTTGGGAAGCTGCCACTGAGGCCTGGAGGAGCAGATCAACAAGAGGGCGTCTTGTCATCTTGCCAGCGAGTCTTCTTTTATCTTGCCTGAGCAGGAAAAGAAAATCTCTCTCTGTCACAACAAGTGACATAGTGAGTATTGTGATGGCTGCACACAATGAACTTACTTCTTCTATATGTTAGTGGATCTTTCTTCCACATATCGGTCCTTTGTCATAAATGACAGCCTGATACTGCTCTCTGCCCCACTGATCAACAGACAGTACAAAAAAGGCCAACTTTACCTGACTGCAAAAGGCTGGCCATCACACACCCTCCCAGTGTTTGTTTCTCTGTTGCCATAGCAATATCACTGGCTGTATAGGGTGAGCTCCCCACTGGGTAGGAATTCTTTGCCTGGTAAGGCTCCTTGAAGAGGAGTTGGGTATGTGTAATAGATGTGTCCAATGGTGGACAGAGGCACAGACACACACTATGTAATGAGGCCCCTGGAGTGTGCCTATTCCAATAAAACCAGGTGTATATCGCCTGGCTCCAGGTGTCCACCTAGTCATTATAGCGCACCACTTTTTCCGCTCTCCCTCTTTCTCGCTCTGGTCCAGCCTTAATGGTTGTTTTCTCCACGTGTATAATATATACGTCTGTGTGTTTGGACACTAATACGTGTGTCTGCCACAGTTTGTCATGCCATTTGGACCACTGCTTTCCTGGCTTTCCTGGTGTGTTATGAGGTGGTGAGTGGTTCAGTCACAGGAAGGGGATTCCCTCATACATGACTTGTGTGCACCAATGAGTGGTCTTATGTGACATGAAAAAATGAGGGGAAGTCATAGTCGCATCCGAAAACACATTACCACATTTAACCAAAGTCCTGGAATCACGTTGGTGTTTGTGTGTTTTTTTTCCTGAATTTGCTCAACAGGGCTCGCAGCACAGTAGTTTCCCCTCTTCCTGTCAACGCTTTGCTTTGAAATGCTCATTGCATCTACGCTCCTTGCTCTCCATTCACACTAAAGCCAAGTTTAAATTTACCATGCCAAGATTTAGGAAAAGATAGTGCACCCCCTAGTGAAACAGCTCATGTATTATTTGACTGCCAAGCTGAGTGGGATTTGAGTGTTTTCCATGGCTGAGGATATATGTGTGACTTGCATACCCCGTTTGGCCCTGCTAGACCAAAGCAAACACCTGGAGGGCTCACGGCCTCTCAGCCCTGGTACAGAAAAATACACACTCTCTCTTGTTCCCTAAGACACTTACACCTACCACCACCCCTCAATCTCCTTCTCCCTCCCCCATGAGGCTCTAATGACAGGCCCGGTGAAAACAGGAAAAGAGGTCTTGATCCCAATGATGGCATGGAAATTAGCGTGAGCTGCAGGTCTTTGTCAAAACATGACCTCACCCCAACACTGGCTGACAAGTGACAGCAGTCACACATTCTCATGCTCTGAGATGGAAAGTTTTCACTCCCTGTTACTGCGTCGTTTTGATCAGTTATATGAATACAATTACAGGCAAAGGTCACTTAATATATATTACTATATACATATAAGCACATTCAGTAAAAGAACCACAAAGTTTTCAAGGATTATTGTTATTGTTCAGACTAAGATTTGCATGAAAAAAACAGCCCTTTCATAGCATTCTTCTGTCTTAGGTTGCGTACTTGAAGCAGTTGTTGGCGTGTGTGGATGTGCTGCTGCATCAGTGTGAGTCAGACTGCAGCTCCGTCAGCCTGCAGCTGCTGCAGGTGCTGGTCACCGTCCAGAGCCTCTCCACCGAGCCACAGCTCAGCGCAAAGGTGAGAAAACTCAACTATGAAGATACAATTCAGGATGCATCCTCCCCTGCAGCTCTGCCGTCACTGTTTTTGTTTTTTCCCAGACAATAAAAATCAACATGTACATTTACTCATGTAGTTATTCTCCAAATTGGCACAGTTTCCCACCTCATTTAGATCTTTTTTAATCCCTTGTTAGAAAGGTAAAAATGTTTTATGAAGCAGGAGCTATTCAAGGAATGTAAGGATTTGTACGGTCCACAGTGGGCATGAGCAGCAGTATAATTACCCACTTAGCCAGGTGAGCTAAAATTGCACCTTTGGAATGGAACTTTGAATCCAGGCTTGGGTGAAAGGAGGCGGGTGAAATATGGAGGGAGAAGTGACAGGCAGAAAAAGAGAAAAACAGATGGGATGAGTGGTATTCCTTTGTAGGTCTGTGTCATTGGGCATGCTCCGCTGACTTTATTTCATGAAGCTCCCTTGCCAGGTAATGAGTTTCTGTAATGGGGCCAGCCTGCAAATCCATGCTGAAAACAGGGACAGTGATGAGTGAAGCCAATGGTGTCTGAGGTCAGCATGTCATCCAGCCACTTGTCACTGTTGCCGGCTAATTACAGGGAGAGGAGCGCTGGGCAGACACCACGCCGGTCACCAGTGTGACTGGATGTTTATGTCTGTCTCCATTGGTGTGTATGTTCACACAGGGAGCAATATTGGTGGAGAGATGGGAAGGAAAGCATTAAGAAAGCGAGGGAGGGTGAGAATGGCCTTGGGCATTCCTGGACCCAAAGGAAAAGCCGAACTCATTTTTCCCAGAAAAGGGCCATGTCTTTCCCATCAATGGACAACTCAGGGATGTCTAGCTTTCTTTAGAGTGACTCAAACAATGTCTCTGTCTCCATCCGTCCCTGAGGGATTATGACAGGAACTATGAAACGCCCTGAGGGTCAGTTTCCCTGCCCTGTTCAACTAATTATTTACTGTTCTATCCCCCATCCCTGCCTTTTCCTCTCATCTTAGCTTTATTGATGTGTAATTTTGTCTGTGTGTTTATGTGTTTTTGAGACAGTTCCTATGGTTTTGTTACATCCTGTGTGTAGATTTCTGTCGAATAGTTTCATGTGTGAGATGTCGTCATGTCTGCTATGTTGTTTTTTCCCTAGTTTCACATTATGTCTTGTTTCTCTGATATTATTGTGCTTTCACCAATTCCTGAACCAAGAGTACTTCCATAACTGTAGAAGTGACATTCTGTGTGCGGAGATATTGTATTTCTTCACAGAGATTGTATTCCATGCGTTCCTTCCTTCTTTAGGCCTTGGAAAGTGTACACTTTTTAAGTACTGTCCAGGGGCTGGACCTGATGGAGCTCTATAGACAGCATATGAGGCAGCTTCTGGACTGGTTGTCTGCTTCCATCAACACCTGGTCACCCTACTCCCCTCAGAGACTCCAGCTACACATCGTAGTCACACAGTCAGGTAAGACCTCCAGATTCTGAAGTTCATACACATTACTAATAGAAAAAGACAGGTAATTGATTAAATCAATCTTACTCTGTTCGCACAGGGTTGTTGGGGATAGGAATGTGTAGCTATTAAACTGCAGTACTTGGTAAAGCCAGTTTTCTGTAGCATGTTTCAGGAGCTGCCACTCCCACCAATGTTAAGCGTTCATTTCTCAAATCAGCCATCATCGTAACATCTTCTACCTGACCCCGTCTTACAGATTCCACAGTTGGTCATCCTAAGATTCTTTTAGTCTCCTCAATCGACCACCAATTAGAGAAGTAATTATATAATTGATAATGTCGACAGCCTGAGGCCGTGTGAAAAATGTGATGGTCAAAGACACTGGCACGGGGGGAAAAGTGCTGTCATTTGCGCTATTTGGCTCTCTGAAATGTTTCATAATGCTTGTTTAGGTTTGAGGTTAAAAGCTGTGACCCTTGCTTTGCTCCTCAGAATTTCACTTTACCTCCACCAATGCAGCATAATCCTCCATCATCACCACCTCCCTGTGCCACTCTTTCATCTCTGTCTTTTTCTCTCTCCGTCTCCACACCGTCTAATGGACAGGGCAACTCTAATCCACACACGCACTCACTCCTCCACCTAACTGACCGGTCCATTGTGAGGCCACTCAGTGATCCCAGTGCAGGTCACAACATCAAACAGAAGCAAAGCTGACTGCTCTTGACCTTCTCCTGGATCAAGGCCACTTTGAAGCACGATGTGTGTGTCTATGTATACTTGTTATGTGTGTATGTGCTTTCTGAGAGTTTAGTTTGTTTTCTTTATTTTGCACATCTTAATGTTGCTCTAAGCCTGCCTTACTTTTTACTTTTGCAGATGTGTTTTTAGGCTCCAGCACATCCTGAGGACCGTGCAAAAAGCGGTAAAGCAGACTGTGGGTGGCCACTATGTCTGAACATGTATAAAACTCAAACCTCTTTAGAACAATTGTCGGTAGTTGATTTGACAAGGGAGAGTTGGTCATTCTGCCTGCTCATCAGCTCTTTATGCACTTAATCTGTGTTTATTAGGGACAGGAAGAATCATTTCTGCGTAAGTCCTGATAATCGTTTGTTCTTCAGCTCATAACAGAAAATCTGGATGGATTTTGTATGCCACAATTAACCTTTTTCATTGTCTTTACAGGAATTGCTAGCACTCTGCTCAAGGTTGTGACACACGCTCTTTTCCTAAAGTAGAAATATTATTGCTGGTTATCTATTGATGTCCACTCCTAGATCCTGGAGACATCCATTTAATCACCTCTGATTACTGTGTGCATTGAAATTGCTTCTGATTCACTCTTTCCTCTGGATACAAAAGGTCTCGTGTTTGGTCTCTTTTTCTGTTTTCCATGTTTTTTTTTGTTTTTTGTTTTTTATGAGGCCGACTCACATCCTCAGGATTTCCTCTGTCTCATCTCATGTTGGTCAAAATTCAGGCCAAATAGGGCATGGGCACTTATCACTGATTGCACACGCAGGGCTTTATAAATAGTCTCTGTGAATATGTAGTCAGACTGGTGTTGGATTGGTGCGTGGGCACAAATGGAAGAGAATGAGTTTTTCATTTATCTGGGAAAGGTATTTGTGTGGAAATGCTTTGTCACACAGTGCTTTCTCTGCAGACTGTCTCATCAGTCCATTTATGTCTATAAGTCTTTAATGGTTTGTGCTGACAGAAAATAAGAAAACGTGCAATATATTATTAAGTTTTGACTATGATGGACAGGTGACCTGTCTAGGCTGTTCTCAGATTTATGCTAAAGCCATTCTAGAATATGGATGGATTGTTAGAATTTGAGTCCTCTGACTGCTGACCCAGAAAGTAACTTAGACTTCAAACAAAGAATCATGGGTCATGCACCGTTGAAATGGCATTAAAGGCACTGTGTAGAGAGCAGCGGAACAACCTGAACTAAATGGAATTTACTGACCTTCCAATATTCTATGTGCATCAGTGTCATGTTTTTGGTGGTGAGAGGTATGCCACGAGACATAGGTTACAAAGGTTGTGATTGAATCTTTTTTTCACCCATGTTTCTGCTCTAGGTCCAGTGATTGGGGAGTTTCTGAACCAGATGATGCCTCTCCTCTATAGCTGCCTTCAGCCAAACAGAGACACTGAAATGAGGATGAGCATTTTCACTATGCTTGCCAAATTGTTGCTGGATGCAAACAACACACTGGATTCCCAAGGGTGAGGAAGACACATTACTCAAGCTTACTTTAAAAGTAAACTCGATGGTGATGAAGGTTTTGTGAAACTTTTCCATCCCCATGTCACAACACAGCCTCCCTTTAGGGTTCAGCCTCAATCAGCTGAATGACTTTGTCTGCTTTTGAAATCATTATTGCAGTGAAACACATTTAGAGGAGCACGAAAAACAGAAAATAACATTCCGGTCATTTTATCCTATTAGCTTCTTTGGGATGGTGAAAGGGTGATGTAGGGTTTGCTATTACTGAATGAAAGTACACCAGAAATGAAATCCACCCAGATTGAAAGGAGAATCATTTGAGTTGGGCTGCTCTCTCGGGGAGTATCACATTGGCACACTCGCATTAAACACTTCCCACCATGCCTCAAGGAAGACGACATCCCTCTCAACAGTAATTTGAGTGGTTATTGAGTGATTAAGAAGCTAGTATAGCTGGAATGTCTGACACCAAGAGAGGCGCCCCACTGCCCCCACATTCGTTCCATAGGAAGGTCCCCCTTCTCTGTCAGCTCTCAGCTGTGAGGCCTTCAGCTTGGACTTGAGCTCCAGTCTGAGTGAATGCTTAAACCCGAGGCCTTCTATGGGTGTACGTGCTCACAACAGCTGTTATTGTCCATCAGAAAGACAAACTTCATCTGCGGGGTTACCATGGATACATCTACACAGTGTGCGACTAACCCTCACACTGCAGCCAAAAGATTAGCCTCCATCGGTTAATATGAGCAACTCACTGACAGTCTCTGTATGTGAATAAAATGAATGTTTGGATTTATTTTGTAGTGTATTAGTTATTCAAAACAAACAGCAAAGAAAAAATATGGGCAGATGTCAACATCTGGAGTTCAGAAGATGAACTATATTCTACTTTTGCCAAAAGTTTGGAAACTGGAAATTCTGCTTTTATCAGATATTTTTTTTTTCAATCTGGCTTTTATAGTGGACAAAAGAGGTCTCTGTCTCTTACCTGCCTCTGTGGTGGACACCTGCAGTCCTAAAACTCACTCTCATTCCTGAGATATATCTGTGCTAATCACAGAACCCCGAAGTGAGACAAAACCTTGTTACACCGTCAAAGATTTCAACCAGTTTTTTAACTCGCACTGTGTGGGACTGTGTGGTCTTTCATAATATTCCATTCATAATCAAAACCTTCATTCATGATTTATGACTCGATCTTTGTTCAGAAGATTGCAGGCCACACACACACCCCATATGTCATCAAGAGGACAATGACAGACAGAGAAAATTTCTTTCTTTGTTGTGCATCCAAAATGACATAATGACACCTCCGCTGTATAACAAGCCGAAAAGGGAAAGTTACATGTAAGCTCCTTTCATCCTCACATTCTCATAATGTTCTCATTTCATGTGGATATTTTTGCTGTGATTAAAAAGATGGCTATGAAATCTAAGAAGAAGAAATGAAAGTATATACCTTTTAAACCTCAATGTGGCAAGCCCACATCATGCTCTACCCTCAACTGAGATAACAGTGTGCTTTCAAGGTTGCACAGCCAGCAAAAGACAAGTGTCTTTAATTTTAAGTTCAGATTTCAAGATTTACCACAAGACATAAATGCTATTGAGAGGCTTTTATTCCAAAATATAGAATTCATGTAAGATGAAACAAGACTAAACTAAGCAAAGGCTACGCATTTATCTATAATGACTGTAATCTCTAACCTTCTGAAACAAGATTTTGCCCCAATGTGATGCTATTTTCTTTTATGATAAAGCAGATTTGAAGATCTGAGGAAAGAGTTAACTATATATATATATATATATATATATATACACACATGACTTTTTCAGTGAGACTGTACAGAGTTGCAGGGTTGAATTTTTTTTATAATACTATTATATCTGATATCACAGGTAGATTATTTTGTTTGATCAAAGACCAGAACAAAAACTGGGTGTATGTGTATGTGCCAACTTGACAGCAGAAGGTGTTGAGGGCGTGACATTTCTAAAAAGCAGCATAAAAGTTTGAATATAACTGAAAATACCTTCTGACAAGGACCTTTAGTCTCTCAAACTTGGCTGACATGGGTTATTCCAAAGCATGCTGCCAAAGTCAAACAACTTTCCTAGACAAAAAAAAGAGCCTGGAAAAGTATGTCAACTGATTTCTAATCCAATAGGACATCTTTGGCCAAATTTACTGTGGACACTAGAGAAATGTAAGCCATCCAGGCGGGAAGAACTGGAAAAACACAAGATGGAAGAGAACACTTGTGGTTCACTGGCTTTCTCCAGCCGATAAAGACTGTCAGTCATCAGAAAAGGTTTTGATGAGTTGAAGTGTTTTAATAACAGTAATGAAAGACATGAAGGCATTTCTTATATTAGGTTCCTGTGGTTGGGGTTTGATGTTAAAGATCATAAATCTAACTCATGATACATATTATTATTATTGAGCTGATAAATCTCTGAACGCTTTAAAAACGTATTTGTCATAGCTAATGCCTTACTGTTCCGCTTATCATTATCATAATTATTATTAAGGGTTTGACACAGCCTGGAGTCATCTAGGGTTTAACTGATGGCTTACTAAAGCATACTTAATGTTGTGTACAGTGTGTGTCAGAATAACTTTGAGACAATAGTAAGAGCTTGTTGACAGTCATTTAAACAAGTAAAACATGCACAATAATGAAAGAAGCTTTGTTGCAGAATGTTGTAAAAACTCCTAAATTTACACATAATTTTACACTTTTGCTCTTAGAGCTCCAGTGTGAGATCCAGGCAGTGCACAGTCAAAACTCAGTGGTGCCTTTTTTAGTGAGTGATGTATGAATTTATAGATGAAAGTTTACATAGACATACAACAAGGAAAAACCCCTCTCTACTCTGCTTTAGACATCATCCCCACAAAATGGGAATTTGTCTTTCTATACTTTTGCATCAGTCGGGACAAGTTGTTATCACTTGTCTTCTTATAGCCAGTGAGCTAAAGCAGCATCCAGGTCCTGGCTCCATCTCCGGCGTACAGTCTCCCCCTACAGGCACTGAAGTGTTACAGCACTCCATCAAATACAGAACATGACAGTTTTATTGCCACTCCAGCTGAGCGGCCTACAGATCGAGGCAGTGATGTCAAAGGGTCAAAGACAGTGTGGAAAAAGGATGGGGAAGAGAAACGAGGACACACAGATGTTTTTGCCTCTGGCTCTCTCTCTCTCCCATCCCTCTGTCTCACAAAGAGTGTGGGAAAATGACCGTATGGCAACACTTGTGTTGCAGCAGTCATGCTTCTGCAGCATTTGTTTATTCAAAAGAAAGTGCTGGCTGGAGGCTGTGAAAAACCCTCTCACATGAAGTGCACGACATGAGAAATGACTCTCGGGTCGGTTATTCGCTTTCTAATCCTCCTCTTCGTTCCAGACACTTCCACGATCACGCCGAGAAGTTTCTGTGTGACATCCTGCTTCCTAACCTGGTGTGGCACGCGGGCCGCACCGCCGCCGCCGTCCGCACCGCCGCCCTCAGCTGCCTGCTGGCCCTGCTGCACGGGGGGGCCATCACATCCGGACAGGTACTAGCCATCCATCCAGGAAGGGTCTTTTAAATCCTTCTCCTTGCGCAGACCTACACAGAATGCTACTGGGTTTTCTTTATCTTTTAATAGTGCAAATAAGTCTGCCCTAAAGGCAAAAAAGCCTTTAAAAAAAAAAAAAACAACACACAAATACTGGAGACAAATACCGGATGTGGGGCCTCTCTAGTTGAATCCCTTTTTGATTTCCAGAAACACTTTTTATTGACTCAGCTGTAAAGGAAAAGATGTGGTAGAACATTCCTTTACCCCTTTGAGGGTTGACATTTACTTCAGCTTTTCTGTTTTGTCCATTTCTCATCAAAATAGACGGTCTCACCTGACCTCTGCTGAGAATGAATTGCCGGTTATCTTTCTCTCTTGGCTGGAAGAGTTGGCCGCGGCAGGTAGCAGGTGTATGCGGGGGCAGGCAGGTTCACATACCGCTGTCCTGAAGGAACAATGCCGCCACTGTTCCGGGGCATTGTTAAACCAAGGAACTGTCCCCTGGAACACGGAACTTGTGCCAGACACTCCGTATGTGTGCTGGCACGAGCACACGCGCATCTGGTAGCATTCGCCCTTGCTTGAAACAGGTTCACACACCTCCTCGACTGCAGTCACACGTTCTTAAATATACGGCAGTAAAAAGGCCCGGGCTGAAAACTTCTGCTAATGTAATGCGGTGGCACCCAAATGGGCTCTCTAGAACTGAAAGCTATGGGAGTAAATGAGGCCACAGTACTTAAGGTTTGGGGATTTTTGATTTAGGTCATGCTTTAGAGGACACAAAGGATGCGAGCTGACAGATGTAACCGCAGAAAGTTGTGTTTTTCCACAGGTGAACCAGACAGCCTTTTATTTAGGAGGACGCTGTTTCCTCTCCCTGTGAAAACCATTTGCAGCTCCAGTTACATTTGGCACCCGCAGATTGTCACTGATGTAATAGTGGATCGCACATGCGCCAAGATTTCCTCCTCTTTGTGTCTCCATCCCTCCCTCTCCCCTTGCTGTGTTTTTTTTTTTATTGTTTTGCCTGCATGGTTTCGATAGCAAACAGAGAGGGTGACAGGGTGACGGAGGCTTGAGCCATCAGCTCTTGGCCTGCACCTCAAGAGTGCTCAGCCTCACCTTGTTTGTTCATTATCTCTGTTTCTCATCTATGCTTTAGTGAAAAGCAGTCCTCTCTTCACTTCTGAAGCTTGGCTCCGTGTTTATGACTATAAAAGAGATCCAGTCCCAACTCAGGTGATATTTCACTTGAAACGGTTCGAACAAATAAAAACGTACGTGGGAACAAAAGCAAGTGGTGCAGCTTTGAGTTCCCACTCAACTAAAAAAACTTCTCCACCCAAAGAAAAAATATGTATTCACAGTCAGAAATTCTTCCTAAGTTTGAATAGATCTTGATATGGCTCTTCCTTCTCTGTGTGAAGTTGCTGTGTGTGGAGGAGAAGCTGAGCCCACAGCTGCTGTCAGCCTTGGAGGAGGATTCCCAGATGAGCAGGCTGTTCGCATGTCGCTCTCTTTCTGCCTTGCTCAAGCTCATAGGAGCCAGTCTGCATCATGATGCTCTCCACAAGATTTACCCAGGTAAACGACAAAGGAATAAGCCCGTTTATGTCCCCGTGTTGTACATGCTGCTTCACTCCGTAAGCTCTCTTTTATTTTGGGATCAAGAAGTATTTGTCTCCTCTCCTGCCAAATGGTCCCTTACACTTTGTTTGGAGAGTTAGAAAACCACTTCTGCTTAATCCTCAAAAGGGAAGGAATGCATTGCTTTACCCAGCAGTGCATGAACCCTTAAGCAAACTTGTTAATTTACCCAACACTATCGACGAATAGCGAAATACTGGGTGTTAGGATTTCAGTCACATGATATAAATAGTCCATTCAGTTTGACTCAGTTAAATTTAGTTCAGTTTAATACTTTATCATTCCCTCAGGGGAAATCCATTCACATATGTTGCTCCATTCAGAGCTGTTAGTAAGAGCCAGATAAAAACATAGGTATTCCATTCTTAAATGAGAAATCTTTCACATTTCACTCACAGAACTCTTAACAATGTGTTCCACTCATCAGCAGAACAGACATAAACGTTTTTGTCATGTTTTTTTTTGTCTCCAAAGAGCTGCTGAAGCGCCTGGATGACAGCAGCCAGGAGGTGCGCAGCGTGGCCCTGCAGGCTCTGGGGCTGTGGCTGTCCAGCCTGACCACAGACTACAACCCGGAGCTCTGCGCCGCTCACCTGCAGCTCCTCTTTCAGCAGCTGCTCCTGCATCTGGACGACCCCGACAGCTCGGTCCAGGACCAAGTGCTGGGTGAGACTGGGGTGGGGTGACTGAAGAGGGTCGGGCGTTGATGGGTGGTGTTAGCCGGAGGCGGGTGTTAGCGTGTCTTCGTTTGACTTTGCTGAGCCGTAAATGTCTGGGCCATTTGAAATGGGCCACAGCTCTTTTGAGTTTTGCTAGTTATGGGACAAACCTGAATATTTGATGAATACAGAAGTGGATGTGAGGCTCTGTTACTCTGCAGAGCAGCCTGCTGTGATCAACCCACTCACATAGGGATAAGAGGAATTTGGGGTGTCTTCTATCAAACATCCCATTATTCCACTGGCAAGCAGCCCAAAATAAATCCCTTCTCTCTTTCAAGCTCTCCTTTATCCGTCTTTTCCACTCAATTTATCACTGAGAGCACTGTGAGCAACGTCCCTGCCAAAAGACCTCAGCTCCGTCAAAGTCTGGGCTGACTGCTCCAGATATGGAAAGGTGCCCACCTGAGAGAGATTTCAGAAGTCAGTGTATAAGCTCTGACGCTCTGATGTAATGCATTCGTTGTTCCTTTGTCTACAAACATGAAGGGCAGACAGATAGAGTTGTGTGTGGCCAGTTTCTGTCTCTCCACTCAGTATTTCTTCCTGCAGCCGTCCCACCTAACGACAACCACATGAAAACCCTCTCTCCCACTTGCCACCTCCCCACATCTGTCCTCACGCTCATCCCACTTAATCCCTCCGTCTTTTATCTGTCAGTCCGCCTTCATCCTCTCTCTCCCTCTGCGCGGTGCAGTGGCCCGTAGCTTCACGGCTGTGTTTTATGGCCCCATCGGAAAGTGCGGACGCAAGGCACAGCTCATCTGGACTTTTGCTCTCTCTTACTCATCATAAATGTTAGCTGTCACGACCACTGACAGGACACAGGTGAGCGCCGATGGTTTAGCCAAAGCCGAGAGGCCTCACCATGGGATCTCTCATCTCCCATCCTCGGAAAAAGAGGGAAAAAGTGGGAAAGAGGGAAAAATGCATTCTTGCTACAGAAGGAACACAAGCTTCCATATCATATATTAAAGCCTAATTCTGGCAAGTTTTACAAAAGATATGTAACGTTTTACCGAAGGGGGATAACTGGTGTATATGTGAAGTGGGGATTGGCTTTATTGTATGTATGGCTGTGAGCAGGCCTGCCTGCCTTTGTTTTCCTTCTGCTGACATGTCCAGGCTGTGCCTCTGCTTTACTAATGCCAGCTAAGAGGTGATATCCCCCTTAGCTTTGCATTAGGGGCAGTTAGGTTCAATGAACATAATAGCCTTTCCTTTGTGTCAAAAGTGAAACTGTAGATGTGTCGAAGGTTACTTTACCTGCAGGAATGAATGGACTTTGGTCTTTGAACCACAGAGGAGGAAATAAAAGGCACTCACAGATAGATGAAGGATTGTTTTTGAGATAAGGTTAATAATTAGACTTACCCTTTTTATTTTTTCAATCTGTTTAATTGTGCATCTCAGTTGTTTCAACCATCCAGGCTGATTCTGATGTGGCAAAGTTTGCACTTTTGCTAATCAATGAGCGTTCCTCAGGTAGTGTCAGCACATCTGCCTCTTCCACCTAAAGTAAGCCAACATCTGTAAATGTGTGCAGGCTGATCCTTAAAGAACGGCACATTCACAGACAGATCGGAGTCTCTTTGTGAAACGAGATGACCTCACGTCTTGCTGATTGATCGTCTGTATCTGACAGCATCCAAATGTGGAAGCGCACCACCCTCCCATGCACAGCTCTGTTTAAAGCTTTCTTTGTTTGCCCCCCTCCCGTTCTCTTTCTTCTTCTCCTCTGTCTTTCCCTACTTGCCCCTTTAATAGTCAATCCCATTCTTATGCTTCTTGTATTTCAAACGCATGTCTGTGAAGTGGCTTGAAGTCTGCAGCATGTCCTGACAGAATGATGGAAAACACCGTCATCCCCTCCCTCTCATCCCCATTATTCTCACTTGTGAGAAGTGTGTTGGCACGGGCGGATCTCGCTTCTCACAAGCCATCATTGTTCCCTTTTAATTTCATTTCTCACCCCCATGTCCATCCCAGCTCAGCTGAATATATACCAAAGCAAACAGAAATCCCCTCAACCTCCCTGAAAAACGAACCCCAGTATAAGGTTTAAAAGACAAATTCATGTGGAGTGACAGCGCTCGTCATCGGAGCAGCGCTTCTGCCTTATTTCTGATTATTTGATATGCTGACAGGGAGGCAGGAAATTCAGGATACTATTGCCTCCCAGTGGAAGCTAAGGGAAATGTAGATGGTTCCAGATGTAACTGAACCGTAGTTCGTTGCTGCCATCTGCTGGTGTGGAGACATTTCATCCAACACGGTGGACAAGTAGCAGTGTTTGAGCTACAAGTGTTGCTGACACCTCAGATCTTAATGCGTCTTTTTAGATCTGTACATGAACTACAGCAACAGCTCCACAGAATTATAGATCACATATTCTGCTTTAGGCATTTGCAGCAGCTTGAGGCACAGGACAGAGGGAGGCATGGATTCCTCTGACTAACCCACAGCTAATGGCAGATTCAAGTTAAAAATGACACACAGTAAATGAAATGAGAAGTTGTGTTTACCTGTTAAGGATTAAAATCCCTTTTGTTCCCTTTCACATGGTGTTAAAGATCCTTACAGTCATGTTATTCTTTAGCAACAGACGTTGTTAGCTTGTTCCAGCTGTGAGTAATAAATCCACAGAAGTCAAGGTTCCTTTTCTTGTCATCTGCACAATTTGTCATTTGAAAACCTTGGACAATGTGTGTCACTGAGCCCTGTGATTTACGACCAGTTGCAGCTATGGTGCGCATCACAGTACTTCATGCTACAGTCCGTCCCTCTCTGACCACAGACTCTCCTCCTGGTAGTCTATTTGTTTCACTCTTAGCGATCTGTTTTGTATTTGTTTGTATGTTTGCAGAAATCCTGAAGAAGGGCAGCTCGGTCCACCCTGTCCTCCTGAGGAAGGAGGTGGAGGCTGTGAGGGACAAACAGCGGAGTCCTCTCTATTGCGACCGGCTGCTGCAGCACATGGGCTCGCCGCCCACTGAGCCGGCCGCCGGCAGCCTGGAGTGACCGCACACACATCCCAAACATACACACATGCTTTCTGTGCCTTACCTGGGAGGAGTTTCACTCTTCTCCAACTGTCAAACATGGTATAATTGGAAGCTTTACGCATGAATTATACAAAGTAAATGTTCTTTTTTTATTATTTAAAACTTCTAAAGTGTCCTGTTGTGAAAAAGGTTTCAGAAGATGTTCATTCCTGTTTTTAACTCCTACAGTTCTGATGATTGGTTTTTAATCAACAGATTTTTGGGTTTGTGTAAGTGATGTTTTTTGATAAATTAGCTGTCATACTTGTTATGTAACTTAGTATGAAAAATAAGTTCAATAAAAATTTGTTTTAAAAACATCTGAATAAGTCTGAAGGTTTTAAATGACACCCAAATCACTGTCCCACTGGTTTAGTTTTATTTAAGCACATGGAAATTCAATGGCTGGTTTCACATTTAATTTCAGAAAAAGGTTGTGAATAAAGGTTGTGGATAAAGACGTAATACTACGAGATGAAAGTCATATATAATCGCAATATTTCAACTTTTTTTTTTCTTAGCAACCGTACTCATTTAAGTCCAAACTTCTTCAGATTTACTGTAGTTATTGATATGAGCTGAGCTTTCTATGAGATAAAACATCTTTGGTAGGATGTTATACAAGGTTTAAACAGAGGGGCCAAAACTTCTGGCCATCCTCACCCACATGTCAGCTATTAAGGGATGTGAACCATGTCAGATTCAACACAGATTCTTGTCTGTTTTTGATAACCAGCATCAAATTTAAATTTGCTCTCATCGTGCTCAAATCTTCATTTTGCTGCAAAGCATTGTATTTTGCATCAAAATTCTCATGTTGAGAGAGAATAGGTTTATTTTATTAATCCTCAAAGGATATTTGGTTGAGAACTTATTGAGTGTGTTGGTGTTTGTGATCTGTAATTCACAAACACACCACTAGATCCTTCAGTGTGTAAAAAGCTGTTTATACGCTAACTGAACCACAACATTGTCTTTATTTTCTTCTGTTCCCTTCCATTCAAACAGAGACTATGTCCAGCTCTGGGCAGGGCGAGGAGTGGAGGTGGTTGGGTGGACTTTTCCCACCACTGTGGAGAAAAACCATTATCAAAACCAGCTGAAGATCAGCTGCATGACAGACAGTCTGCTGGAAGACCGGTGATCCATAATTCTGAATTATTGAAAAATAAAAGGACAAGAGAGTGGTCAAGATCATAAATATCTCAAAGTTCTACAAGATTTGTTAAGATGTGCCATGAGGTTTAAACAAAGGATTTCTTCTTAGGGCTCATCTGTTTTCTTATTTTAGAAAAATGTGTGATATTTGTGTGACATCAGGAGACCTGTTGCTGCCCTTTTTAAATCCATGTTTTAAACTCATTTGTTACATTTTCTGCTGCATAATTCACTAAAACCTTTTGGTGGGTGCTTTCAGGGCTGTAGGCAATAAGAGTAATCTTGAATGAAAGGTTAGGAAATGTTCAGGTTGCAACAATTTGACGGTAAACTCATCACTTGTGTTTGTTTCTGTAATCTAAAACCTTATTCAGGCATGGTGCTGTTTCCCTGATTTGCTGCAGGTGTTTGGCCTTGAAGATGTTTGAGTTAAGAACACAAAGTGTAACCGATATGACCTGTGCGTTGATGATTTATTCAGAAAGCTTCCGTTCCCATCTATTTTTTCAACTGTGATTATTGTACGGTCTTTTGGAACACGATCATTTACAACAAAAACAAACAAAAACTAGTCTTTCACTGTTTCGACATTATCGTGGACATGTGTAAGCCGGTAAAACCTGAGCTGGGGAAATGCTAGAATACAGAAATAAACACAGAATGCACGGCTCTGTGCTGGTCGCTGTCTCTTTAAAGAGCGACAGGAGGCGTGTAGGCACGTCGATGGGCGATACGTTTCGACGGCGTGCGTCCAGTGAATGACTGTGTCTCCGGCAGGTTATGTGACATTGTGGCAGGCCAGGACACACCGGCGCAGGCACGCGGGGATCTTCGCTGAGAGGACTCCGGTGGGACGAAGGTAAAAAAAAAAGCAGACTTGAGCAGGAGGCCGGGCCCCCGGCCGCTGGGACGCGCCACGGCTGCCGGTTTTACGCACACGGACGCGCGCTTCTGCTCCCTTTGCGGTTACAAAACACTCTGGCCGTCTGTCAGTGAAGTTTAAGCCGATCTGCTGACCCGGAGCCTTTTCTCGACACAGACGGGCTTTTTTGTTTTTTTTGCTGAAGGAATGCATTCATCTTAAAGTGTCTTCGCGTGAGCTTCTAGGCGTCCGACTTTGGGGATTTTTTTTTTTTTTTGGCGTGCGCATGATGTACACGATCACCAGAGGTCCCAGCAAGCTCGTCACACAGCGCCGGACAGGTGAGTGTGAAGCAACTTCCAACCCGTGTTTCATCCGCACGCGCGCTGCCCTCTGACTGGACCTGCCTGCTTGTTTTTTGCAGGGCCCACTCAACAGCTGGACAGCAAAGCAAACGACTTCAAGCACAAGCAGACGTCCTGGAACATGCCTGAGTAAGCGTGCATCTGCAAAAAAACTAACAACAAAATATTCTCCTTCATGCCCTGATCCATGCACGTGTGTGTACTTTCTAAAATAAATAAGTAAACAGACGTTGGCCCCACAATCTGTGCGTAATTGAATCTTCTGTCTGTGGACACGTGTCCATCAGCAGGCTTCTGTCCACCAGGGCTGCCCATGGCGATTCACAACACACCTTCTCTCTGCTTGCTCGTGCCTCCGGCTGTTTTCACGACTTTGAAACAATTGGCCGGCCCTGAGTGTGTGTGTGTGTGTGTGAGTGTGTGTGTGTGTGTGTGTGTGTGTGTGTGTGACCTTGGTAGCACATGGTCCGTCATTCAGCTGTTGTAATCTCTGGCTCTTGCTCAACCAACCTTGCTTGAATTTAGGATTCAACTCTGGTTTGTTGTTGGAAGGTTTTCTGTCTGGATATGGGCTTTTTTCAAAACTCCTGACAGGATATCTTTTCTCTCTCATCAGTCTGTCTGCTCCCAAGATCGTGTTCAACCGGCTGAATGGGAAGAAGTACAGTCACCCCTCTCCCGCGCTCCCTGTAGACACTCAGCAAGAGGAGAGTTTCTCCCCTGCTCACGAGGAAAATGTCAAGTTTGTCTCTGACGGTAAGGACTGTCTCGCGTCTTCCAAACTCTGTTTCTCTTTGTTTTGTGAATTACATTGTTTTCCTATCAGCGTTTTTAAGAGTTACAAATCAGCCTCCTCCTCCCCTTCCCATGCCTCACCCACACAGCTGCTCTCACACTGATAGCCATTACAGGCCCGGCCAGAGCAGTGCCCACACACCCACATAGCATGCCTCTTATGACCACCCCCCCCCAGCTCACGGGCTGAAGAAAACAAAAATTTTGGCTCTGATTTAGAGGCAGATAGTTACTGTTCACAGAAAGAGAAGCCAGTAGGAGGCATGTGATGGGGCAAAGTGCTTTATTAGGTCCATTTACTGACCCACTTTTGAAGTGCAGGGTTCTTGTCAAGATTCCCAGGATCTCTCTGTCTCCAAGGGACCTCACTTGGCTCGGCTCTGCTTTCTCTTTCTGTCCTGTTGGTTGTTGCCGTTGAGGTTTAGCCCCGGCAGGTCATAAACAGCCTCAGTAACCTTGTGGTTGAGCAGGCAAGGGCGCAAACGTGGCCCAACCCCCACTTCTGCACAAGATTTCTGTGCCCCCCACGCACAATCCCGTTTTCTGAAGGGGAGACCTGCAGGTAGTTCCTTGAGACTAAATCAAAGTTCATACATAAGCTGCACATGACTACTCCGCAGTGTTTGTAATGCAAACATTAGCCAGGAGTGGTTGAGCCTTGAGGCAGTTTGCCCTCATGAACTTGACTGCACGAGGGCTTTTTTTTTCCAATAATGAAGGACAGATAAGGATTTTTAGCCCGTTAATGTCTGCTGCTCTAACTGACTTACGTTTTCAGTCTGGCAGGAGGTTGGTCAGGACCTTGAAGTGTCCCAGAGAGCAGTTTACTACAAAGGGACCACTCCCAGTCCACACATGGAGAGTGAGTACTGCGTATTTTAACCATAGAATATGATGTGCAACTTTCACGTTGTAAATGGAACAAACATATGCATCTCAATAATATTTGGTCTTATGTAAAGTTAAGTTTAAAATATCAATGACAGCTACAAACCAGGAATTGTCAGTATTGTCTAATTCAACCACGTGGACAGTCAAAAAATAATTGTATTTTGCAAGATAGAACTGAAAAATGTTGTATGTTGCTCTAATTAAACTTGAAAGACTTTGAGTTGTAGTTACCTTGTGGGCTAATAGTGATTAACCCTTTTTAAAAAATATTTTTCTGTTCAGCTAATGTTCATTTTTGGTAGGTTGCTAAGTCGTACTAGTGGTCAAGCAGAAAACCTCCATATAATCATTCATTTATAAATGCAGGTTAACTTTTTTTTTTTTTTTTTACTATAAAATGCCCCCCCGTTGTCATTGGCAACTGTTACAGCACCAAAATGGTTATAGCATAACAATGACGCTGAATTTTATAATGTTTTGTTGCCACTAGAGGGCACCCTAAAGGCCCCTGATAATCTGGGCAGACTATGACTTTCCGGTTGTAGCCACCAGGGGGCAATGTACTTCCGCTTACTTAGTAAAGGTTAGGTTCGACATACTTCCGGTTAATGTTGCAAAGACAAATTCTTGAGCTTGGATCATAAAAAATGGAAAACTTTTGGACTTGATACAGGCAGAAATTTAGAATCACAAATGTGACAATGAATCCACTTATAAAATTATTTATAGGGCATGAATTATTAAACCAATCTTTGTATGTTTTGTTAGCGTATCAATAGAAAATGGATATAACACTAAATAAAACTGCCCTGTGTTGTACTGGTGCCTAAAGTCCCTTCGTCCTGTTCTTCAGACTTCGTGCCCATAGATCTGGACGAGTGGTGGGCCAAGCGCTTCCTGGCCAACATAGACAAGCTGTCCTGACCCCGCGGGGATCTGAAGACCTTGGCCCGTCCGGGGCTGAGAGCGGGAGATGGCTCACTAGTGGAGAAAGGCTGTGGCTGCGGGTGCGATGCCTCCAGGTTCCCTGATGGTGTTCAGATGGACTGATGGCGCTGGGACGCTGAAGCCACTGATGATCCCTGAACTTGACCTCCGACCCTCAAACCGCACCTCATCTGTGTCTGAATCCTCAGACTGAATACGGAACAGCGTTGTGAGCCTGAGGGTTCTGTTGTTTAGGACCTCGTGCTTTGGAAAGTTTGAAAAACACTAAAGTTGTATTTTGAAAGAGTTCAGTGTTTATGTCTTTATTCATTAGACAAAATAATGTTTTTTCCCTCTTAAATAGTTTCTAAACTCGGCATTTACCCTCTGATGGCTTTATTCAAACCACGTCTTAATGAACGCTCAAGGCAGGACACTGTAGAGGTTTTTTTCATTTAAATCTAAAGCACCTGCACTCCACACTAACTCCAGGCATCTTTTCACCCCATTTCAGCAGGTTTTCTGAAATATTTGCAAAGGCCAGTTTCTAAGGACCGGTTTAATATCTTGTGTTCTTTGTGCTTTTTTTCTTCTTTGAGCTTTTACTTACAGCAAATTTATATCCAGAGTATTAAGTTAGAGGGCATTGAGCCTCGCTGTTTATTCTCACTTGGAAACAAGATCTCATTTATTTAAAAAGCATCTTGACATGTTTAGGAAGTCAAAGTCACAAGGACACAACAACGAGCAGCTTCTTTATGGCTGTAAAGCTGAGTAATGATGACAAACACAGAAGATGGATGGAGAAGCTTCCCAGGGTTAATTTTCCTCCCATTATTTCCTTTAAGGTTTGTGTGCACTCCATCAGCATGACAGCAGCGTTCCAGAGGGGAGAACAGTGTTTTTCAGAATCTGCCCTCTTAGCCAGTGTTGGCCCGTCAGTCTGTAAGCCATTCACATATAAATTAACTTAGTCCGCACGTACTCCTCAGTGATTGGCCAAAGCTTTAGTCAGGAGATCGTTGAGGCGGGAAATCATCGGCCGTGGATCGTCATTCAAGCCTGCTGTGATCATGGCGTTATCGTAGATCTGGAAACAAGGAAAAGAACCATTAATAAACCGATGAATACAGACACATTGGTAGGATGTGCTCCTTGAATCGCTTTTTGAGTAAGTAGACTGAATTTATCCACATTTAATAATGGATCTTTTTTAGTAAGGAAACTCCGTGCGGGAGGTAGAGCTTCATTTCCCTTAAAAAAAAAGAAAAGAATAAAGCCCAGTACCTGCTCCAGTAACAATCCAGCCAGTTCAGAGTTGGATTCTTTCAGACTGTGCATTTTCTTAATCAGGTCGTGTCTAAAATGTGGTAAAGATATGCAATGTTTAAAAAAAACTAAACAAACGTTTTCTCATCGTTCCAATACGTCCCCCCACACACATCGCCCCTCTCACCCGGCGTTGATCTCCAGAGTGGGCTGCAGAATCTGGGCTCTCTCCTCAGGGGTGCGGGCCAGCTGCTGGGTGCGCAGGAAGTGGCGTGCAGCTCCCATTTCCAGCACCGTGATCATGGCCGGGTGGGTGTCCAGGCGGGGGGTCAGCTGGGGGTCAGAGGAGGCGTGTTGGGTCAGCCCCGGCTGAAAGCGCCCGTCACACCGCGCTGGCACCCCCTTACCTTTATGTTGGTGACTCTGGGGCCCAAAGTGTTCTTCATCCAGGCCATCAGGTCGTCGGCCTGCTCCTGTGTCAGACGCTCCGATTCTAAAGGCAGGACAAGTCCACATTCAGCCGCTGTAACGGTGTCGCGTCCATCCTGCCTAAGATAAGACCGAAGGCGGGAGCTCACCCGGCTTAACGTCTTCGAACTTATCCTCCTTGTAGTGATCCACCACGATGTCGGTCTCCACCGAGATCATCTTCTTCTTGTCGAACTCCCTCAGATGGAGCAGGGTGAGCTCGTCAAACTGCTCGTAGCAGAACAGCACCTGCACGGGTTCCAGCGGTCAGCGTTTGCTCTGGTTTCGGAGCAGGAACCCCTCTGTGGGAGCGGCGCCTCTTACCTCCATGTCTTTCTTTTTCATGGCCTCATAGTAGGGGGAGTGCTCTGCCAGGTGTCTGTTGGGGGCGCACAGGTAGTAGATGTTGCGCGTTCCCGCCTTCATGCGGGAGCCGTACTCCAACAGGTTAGTCTGCTGGCCGGCTGGCAAAGCAGAGGACTCGAACCTCAGCAGCTTTGCAATGTCCTCCTACAGCAGGAAGGAGAAAACTGCTCTGTGATGCAAAGCCATGCTGAAAAAGCTGGAGGCAGCTTTAATAATCTTGGAATTTAAAAGCCAGAGTGGGCACCTTGACGTCTTGCTCCTGGGTGGTGACGATGCCCTCCCTCATGAAGAGGCCGTAGTCCTCAAAGAACTTGTTATACTTCTCTGGCTCCTTCTTGCTCTGGTCCAACAGGAAGCGGATCACCCTCTGCTGTAAAACATCACGGAGCTTCCTGGAGGGGGAGAGGGGACACAAACATGCTCATGCTCGACCCCACGTAAAGAACAAGGAAACACTGGAGCCATTTCTTCAAAGTATCAGCGTCACTATTTTGGATTTCTCTGTTAATTTGTTTGTGGTCACTTGCAGACATGCTCTCTGAGAAGGGACTGAGGATTCAGCCAATTACACCTCTAATGATTTAATGTGACCTGGATTTCTCAGTTCTACTAAACAGTTGATGCAAAGCAAAGTGTACACAAGGTCAGGCCTGCTGAGCAGATCTATTCAGTAGAAGCGAGATTAAATGAAGGACCTCAACAGCAATGTGACATGCTGACACCCGTTTTTAAAGAATAAGAAAATAAGGGACAGTATTTTAAAACCCTCAAATATGTATTGACTTCATAGAAGGACAATTGTCAGACTGGAGGGGAATCTGCACCAGTTGATTCTTTCCCAGTCCTTCCTTCAAATTAAAGGAAAACTTCCCAAATGCTGTAGTTGTTAACATTTTACAGTCGATACATACACACATATTTCAATTTGTACATTTTGGGTGCTGTTGCTTTACCTTAAAACACAATTGGGATGAATGATTAAAAGTGCCCTGAATTTTCCATTTTGTTTAGTAACAACAGAATTTTATGAGTAAGGAGAAGAAAGGAAAAAAATTGCAATGGGACTAACAGTTGAAGTGCTTCAGAACTAACAGGCTGCACATATTACAGACGTTGTACCTGATGAGGGCGCTCTCCTGCAGCAGCTCTCTGCTCAGGTTCAGCGGGATGTCCTCACTGTCCACCACACCTGCACACAAATAAAGACATCAGATCTCTATCCCTCTCTACGTGAGGCGTGGGAATGAAAAGCGTTAGGGAGGACGCAGACCTCGCAGGAACCGCAGCCACTTGGGCAGGATGTCCGTGGCTTTGGTCTGGATCAGGACCTTCCTGCTGTACAGAGCCACACTGGAGCCCATCTCCCTGCTCACGTCAAACATGCTCGGCTTCTGTTGAAGCATAAAAGGACTTGTTCTCACGGGAGTTTGAGAAATTCCACATTTTCATACTCAAGAATATAAAAAATGAAGTCGGTGGCAGCTCAGCTCTGCAACCGGAAGAAAATACACACTGGTATTAGGAAAGTGTAAAAAAAATAAATAAAAAAAACTCACTGATTCTGGGACGTAAAAGATACTGCGAATGTTGAGCGGAGCGTCTGCGCGGTAGTGCAGGGTGTAGCGGGGCCTGTCGTAGGTCTGAGCCACATAACGGTAGAACTCCTCGTGCTGCCAGTCACTGATCTCCTTCGGCTCCATCATCCACAAGGCCTACCGGACAGACACCAGACAATTGGTATGGCGTGTGCGTGCTACACACAGCAGCTAACTGCCTCCGTCAGCCTCAGGTTAACTTCATTTTCAGCCCGCAAAAATCTAAGTTTAGATGTAAATACACATTTAGGGCTGGAAATTAACCATATGCCAAACTTACCATCCGTTTCCAAGTTTTTTCTTCTAAACATACATAACCTTTATCTACTGTTCAACAGATACATAATTCTGTATTCTTCACTATTTAAATGGTATGTACTTCACTTTTTGTTTCCTGTTGGGCATTCACACACATTCATACTGAGAACGTATCCTCAGTGGAGAAGCTTGAAAAATAGTTCCTTTCTCCCAAACCCCAACCTATTAGAGGACAACCACTCCTTTTTTCACCATTATGGTCACACATCTGTTCCCCTTATTTAATCAAGCCTTACCTTGATGACTGATGAGAAAACAAAGCTAAACCGATCCCTCTGTATTTGAGAATGCCACATATATCTTGCTAGGTTTTATGAGACACACACAGAATGCTTTAGAGGAAAACCTGAGGCCCACCTGCAGAGTGTTGAGCCTCCGTCCGTTCAGAAAGATAGGGAAGCTCACAAAGTTGCTGTACTTTGTTATAACCTCTGAAATGGAAGAAACAGCCTGTCATTTCCTGAAGAGAGACAATTGGGGTCTATCCCTGAAAGCAACAGCAGCATCTTTACCTTTGACTCTGTCCTCAGAGCAAAACTCCTTGCAGTCGTCTTTGAGGTACAACACGATTTTTGTTCCCTGTTGAACACCAGTGGCTTCTGCAATCTGAAAAGCTCCAGAGCTGAGGACGACAGGGCGACAAGATTTGTGGTTAAAGAAATACATTTAAAAAAGAGGAAGAAAACATTAAACCTGCAGGTAAATGTCCCTCACCCGTCTGAGGACCACTTATACCCGGGCGCATCCGGCTCTGCGGAGCGGGAGTACACGTCCACATTGTCGGCCACCATGAAGGCCGAGTAAAAACCAACTCCAAACTGACCAATGATGGTGCTGCTGGCCTCTGCCTGGTTCTGCAAAGCGTCCAAGAAAGCCTGAATTTTGAAGAGGAAAAAGGATTATCAGAAAGATATCAAAACATTAGATATACATCAAACTGTCAGAGCTCAGTCGAAGCTGCTTTTCATTATTTCAACAGAATCTTTGCTGATCTTTAAAAAAGGTATTTTGCCCATGTTCAAACTCTCAAACAAGTTTCAATCTCACAAAGAGATGGCCAAGTCTCCATACCAGGATAATATACAACTATTAAAGGTATGGAAAGAAAAGGAACGCACGTCTCAAATGAACAAGTGATGGACAAAAATGAACAGTACAAAAACACTCACCTTGGAGCCAGAGCGTGCAATTGTACCAAGATTGGCAACCAGCTCCTCTTTATTCATTCCAACTCCTGTATCCTGTCAAGAGTACAGAGAATCACAGAAATGAATGAAACATGTAATGCCTCATTCCTCCACCAGGTGGCAGGCCATGTTAAAAACAAGGCCAATTGGGAAGGCAAATTGATTTGATTTAACAAATAAAATAAAATCACATTTAACTCCTTCACTGTAAAAGGCTCAGACAGTGTGGGCATCCACTGGGCAGGTGTGGATATACCTGGATGGTAAAAGTTCCCTTTTCTGCATCTGTCTGCAGGTGAATCTCCATTGGAGCCGTTTCCCCGCCGGCTGTGATCAGTTTGTGCCGAAGTTTTTCCAAGGCATCACTGCCATTAGAGATCAGCTCCCTGATGAACACCTAATGAGAAGAGGAACAATCAGGAGGAAAATATATAAAACAGAAGCTGTGACAGTTCATTAAAGTAAGCTGGAGCCAAATGCCTTCCTCTTACCTCTTTCTCTGAGTACAAAGACCTGGCAACAATATCCAGCAGTTTTTTTGTTTCAGCCTGAAATTCATGTTTTGAGAAATTACCTGGAGAGACGGAAGAAAGAGCGATATTATTATCAGCATAAAAGCGACAGAAAATTGGGCCTCAGTGGTTAAAAGGGCTTATTATCTGAAGCTTTCCAGCCACCTTGTACAGACTCTGTATCACTTATGATGGTGTGCAGAGGCTCCTCCTCGGGTTCCTTCTCAACCTCCTGGGTGCTGTAATGAGACTGCTGGCCGAAGCCCAGGCAGGACCACTGTGACCTCCACACCTGTGGCCGACTGCTCCACCTCTGCCGCAGTTTAACCTGCAAGTCTACGAAAAAAAGAAAAACAATGGTTAGGCTGCTCCACTACCACACAACTCTAAACACTTCAGGATTATTTATCCTATTTTTTATATGTACATTTCGTCCTGAAGGAATAATACATTTTGAACATACCCAGACCTTTCTTAACAACAATGTTTATGTGCAATCAGTAAGTTTATTTAAGCTCAAATGATATCTAATTTTTCTAGAATTTGCTTGCTTTGCTTTTATTTCTGTGAAACATTGATTTCATATTTTAAAAAATTAAGAAAGAAATAAATGAAAAAAGGCTGTGACTGTTTTTGTATTAGATCACCTTTAACTGCGTAATTCTTTCAGTCTAATGGCTCCTGGGTTGAGATAGTGGTATCAACAAAGATCAACAGAGAAATTCAAATATTTGAATATATCATCTTCAGCAACGGGATGGTTAGTACAGCTGTGTTAATAAAAATAAATAAATAAAAAACATCCTTGTTGCTGTCATTAAAATATATTTACACTTGACAAAATCTGCAAGGCAGCCTGTTATCCCTTGGATAGTGCCTGGTGTCCTGATGTAACAACCTGAGTTTTATAAGCAACTACCATTGTTTATCTAATATTCTTCGGTCATTTGGTTTTAAACCAAATTTGATATAAAAAAGTAGCTGATTCAAATGAAAAGTTAACAGATTATAAAAAAAGGTCACCGTTAAGAAGTTTGCTTTAACTGTCTCACGATTTTCCAATCACCAGCTAAGCTAGTCCTGCATGCCGAAAAACAGCTTACCTCCAGTCATGGGGCACGCGACAGCTCGGCAACTTAGCCCTCTCACGGTGGAGAGAGGCCGTAAACTTGCCTTCTGCGAAGATGTGAGAGCAAACCGAGCCAAAGCAAGGCACCGGGACATGTTGACAGTTGTTTACAGCGGTGGAAACCGGCGGACGGATTTCACAGGTCGATTGACCGTGGAACACACGCTGAACGGGACACTTAGGACCAGGCAAAGCAAGTCGGCTTGAAAATGACGTCAGAAGGGTGTCTAGCCTCTGCCTGATTAAAATGTACGTTTCAGCGGTAGCACAATTTATATAAAATATTTCAGGAAATTCTTAACAAAATACGTCTTTTTACATATAATTGTTCGAAGTGCTAATCTTTTTTTTATGTTTTGATATATAATTTATTAAATGAATCCATTCTTTTTTTTTTTTTAAATGTCCTTGAAGGTCAAGCTATGTTCATCTAAAATATTGCACTTGAATGCCTGAAATTTTGTAACGGAGTTTTAGGCTATCTACAGAAAAGCCAGAAACCTTTTTCTGTGATCATACACAACAACATTCAAAAGAGAGTCTGTGGCACACAGGTTTATTTAACAATATGGTATATAAGTACGAAATGAGCCATTTGAACCAGTTTATACAGTGATTTCATTCTTATTTTCAGCATATTTACAGTAATGTCTAGCTGCATGATTTACATTAGAGAATAGATCAACAATTCAAGTTTAATGCGAGAGAAAATGATGCACAAAACTCTCTTAACATAAATCAGCAGTAAACCCATTAAATTTCCCACCACAGGCAAAAGAGTTGCAGTTCTTTATGACAATTTCTTTAGAATGAAAGAGAGACAAAGCAACTTCTGAAACTAAGCAAGACAAATGCCGAGTTCAGGCCAGTAAAAAGAACATTCCAGCTCCTGTGAACATGAACAAGCATCGATGCAAGTTTCTCTTTGTAACGATCTGTATAGGTGTTTGTGTGTGCAATAAGTATTCTTGATCTATACAAATACATTAATCTCGTTTAGACTCTGCAAACAGGAAAGAAATTAAGGCTTTCCTAAAGGCAGTCCTCTTTGAAAAATGGCATATTAGAATAAATTAGCCAGGAACAGGGGAAAGTGAGAAAGAAGTGACACCTGGCAAAAACAATTCCCAGACAAATTATTGTACAGACTTCTCAACACAAATACAATATTAATTTTCGAAAGGTACAAAAAGAAGAATAATAAAACAAAGTTTTTTTGTTTGAGAAGTTTAAAAAACAATAGCAGATCATAACAAATGGAAAAACAAATTAAAACAAACATCAAGACCAGGTCGAATTCTTGCAAGGCTGGTCTGAACCAAAAATATATTCTTTGTGTCTTTATTGTTTTCAACAGCAATTATTAAATCACTCTGTGTTGTAAGAAAAAGTAGTCCATGGTTTAAGGAAAGTTCACAGTCCATAGGCCTCCTAAGACTCGTTTTTATTTCCTTTAGCTTTTTACATCAGTAAGTACAAAAATGTCTCCACTGAAAACAGAACAAGGCCTTTCTTCTGTTTGAAAATGCTACAATATCTTAGTAAAATTCTCCATCGTGTCTCCTGTTGTGTCACCCACCATACTCATGTCATTACTTAACCCCCCTCGGTTTGGTGTATTAAGCTGTGGGAGCATGGCATTCTGCTCAGGGGTTCCCATGTGTCCTTGCTCCATGGAGCCTGACATGGGACCAAGGCCAGGGTGAGGAGAGCTTGAGTGGAGGGCACCGTGTTGGGGTGATGGCTGAGGTTGTATCCGTGGGGAGGAGCTGGAATGAGGACCCTGCTGCGAAGGTGGGCGGGGTGACTGCACAGGGGCTGGGGAGCGTACTTGGTTTCCCAGGGTGTTTGCAATTGTCTGGCCTGCTAGGTGAGCTCCTCCGTGGGCTTGGCCTTGTAGCATGTGAGACTGTGGACTGATAGAATTAGCCTGTGCTGGAGAGCCCATCTGCTGCTTCATCATCTGCTGCGGCTGAAGCATGCGCTGCTGGAGGAGGTTCTGCGACCCGTCCATGCCCATGCCGGATTGACCCATGCCGGGCTGACCCATGCCTGGCTGGCCCATGCCGGGTTGACCCATGCCTTGCTGGCCCATGCCGGGCTGGCCCATGCCTGGCTGACCCATGCCGGGCTGGCCCATGCCTGGTTGGCCCATGCCGGGCTGACCCATGCCTGGTTGACCCATGCCTGGTTGGCCCATGCCGGGCTGGCCCATTTGGGACGTGGGAGGGAGCTGTCCCATGGGTCCTCCGCCGCCTTGCAAAGCCATTTGCTGCTGCATACGGATCTGGGAGAAGCTTGCAGGCCCTGCCTGCTGAGGAGGAAACTGACCGTGGCCCTGAGGCAAGCCTCCCTGCTGCTGAGGATGCTGCATCTGCTGCATCCTCAGCTGCTGTCTGCGGTACAGCTGGGGATTCCCATTTTGTGCAGCATTTATCATCTGGCCTTGAGGACCCATGGGCGCCATACCTTGGAGAGCAGCTTGCTGGGGATGCTGCTGTTGAGGAGGCATTCCAGGCCTCTGCCCCTGGTTGGTCATTGCTGCCATGGCCTGCATCCCTGCCTGTGTTCCCAGCATGGCTTGTGGATTCTGCTGCTGGGCCTGCTGCTGCTGCTGCTGCTGTGGCTGGCTGGCTTGGTACTTGGCTGTCCTCTGTTTAATGAAAGCAGCCATGAGGTGGGGGTTGGATTTGAGGATGCTCAGGACCTGCTGCTGCTGCTGCGGGGAGCTTGGTGATTTGAGGGTGCGCAGTAATTCCTGTAGGGCATTTTGAGTGATGTTAGGAGGCATTCCCCGGGGCATATTCTGTTGCTGTGGTGTCATGCCCTGTTGTGAGGGCCCTTGTGGAGGTATAACCCCAGGCATTTGGAGCCCTTGCTGCTGGGACATCATGGGCCTCTGCATGAGCTGGCCCTGCTGAGGCATTGGGGTTCCCTGAGCCTGCTGAACGCCCATGGGGCCTTGCTGAGGAGGGCCTTGTTGCTGATGAATCTGGGGATTCTGCATCCCAGGACCCCACTGGCCTTGCTGCATAGCCTGCATTACCTGGGGACCCCGGGGCCCTTGCATCATGTGCATCTGGCCCTGCATGGGCCCCATCATGCGCGGGTGGTTCATGGGCATCCCGTTCATGGCATAATTTGGCTGCTGTTGTTGCTGATGCTGCTGCTTCGACTTGGCTACCATCTCGATCTGCTGAGCCACCTTCAGAGCCGTGAGCAGCTGCTGCCGCTGGGGCTGCTCCTGCAGCGGCGGCGGCTGAGGCTGCTGCGGGTGGGGCATGTTGGGCATGGGCGACAGCTGCTGATGGAGTGGGGAGGACTGAGGCCCCGGTTTGCCCTGCGGCACCGGTGTCGTGGGCTGACTGCTGCGACCGTTGCTGTGGAAGCCTTGGGGAACATTGGGGGGGTTGGGTGGGGGTTGTTGGGGTTGGTTAGGCATAGGCTGGGGGGTCTGGGGAGTATTGGGCTGCTGTACAGAATTTGGGGTGTCGGGGGCACCTGAGGTAGGAGGAGATGGCATGGGCATCCCTCTTCCAGCCATGGTGGCCATTCTGCGGCGCATCATCTGAGCCTGTTGGAGCCTGTGCTGCAGCTGCTGCTGACGAAGCTTGTGCTTGATGTTGAGACAGAAGGGAACGGGACACTTGTTCTCCTGACAGTGCTTGGCGTGATAACAGCACAGAGCAATGAGCTGCTTGCACACAGGACAGCCGCCATTTGTCTTGCGCTTGCAGCCCTTGGTGTGCTGAACCACCCTCTTCATCTTCTGGCAAGAAGGCAGTGAGCAGTTGGCGTTGCGACACTGGCAGGCGTGGACCAGTGACTGGATGCAGCGCTGGATGCTGAGACGGCGGCTCTCCTGGGGGCTCTTGGAGGCCTCTCCACCCTGGCCATTGCTGTCGTCGTCTAAACCAAGACCCCATTTCACCATCTGGTGTTCGTGGCCCTTTATATTGTAGCAGTTAATGCATAGATCGTAATCCTGTGGGAAGGTAAGAGGATCACATTTAAGTCATGAATTGAACTTTAAGCTTCAGAAGATAAGTGGAATAAAATCAGAGTGCCAGTGGGTCTTACCTCGCAAACGGTGCAATGCCAGCGAGTCTCCACGTGGTGCTTGCATTCATTGCAAGTGTACACAAAACGGTCCTGGCCCTGATTGTGCAGCTCCACCAACATACACATTGTACTCCACTTACACCTTCTTAGGGAGCTGAACTCCCAGTGCTTGTCCCTGGCTAGAGTCAGGAAGGCATCGCGTCCGTCCATTAAGTCGCATGTCAGCATGGGGTCAGGGTCGATGATGGGTGGCAAAGTGTTGATGACTGGTCCAGAATGCAGGTGGATAACAAAAAATACCTGGGGGCGCAAAGCAGGGAAAAAACAACAACCATCAATATCACAGTAGAACATTCTTCATGGACTTAAGTATGGTAATTTCTCTAAAGATAAAGGCCCTGTTGTGTTCCTATAAGATGGTCCATATGTCCATGAATGTCACTACAGTTATTATTCCCACTCCCTCCTGCTTCCTCAGATCCTCTTCCTCCATACACCTGTTTGTCCCGTCCACCCGTCTCAGTACCATGGGGAGCAGAGCATTCAGCTCTCTGCTCATTACCACAACACCATAAGACTGTCGTTTCTATCTGAGGCTTATTGATATTGCCATTGCCTCCGTCTATTTTATTGATTTTACTGATTTTTCTTGATGTTTGTTTTAATGCCGAGAAAGGCGCTTTGAAATAAAATGTGTTATTATTACTATTATCGAAATCTAAAAACACGTGTCCCACCTCCTTATGTTTCTCCATTGTGGCGTACAGTTTCTGTGACAGATCGTTGGCCACATTTGGCATTCCAGGCTTTTTCTTATTGGCTCGGCTGATGCTGCTCTTGTTTTTGTTTGTTTTCTTGTTGTTCTTCTTTTTGGCATTCTTGCTGTCAGCCTGGGCCCCCTAGTAATAAAAACAATTTAGGGAGTCAGTTTGAACAAGAGGTAAAATTAGATTTTGCATAAGCTAAAAAAAAAATATATAGAAAGACTAAATTATCCAAAATACCTCTGTTGTTTCAGTGGAGGCCGTGTTCTCCTCCTTCTTTCTTTCCTCCTCCTCCTGCTCCAGCTCCTTGATGCTCTCCTCCAGCACATTAGGCCAAAAGTCCCCCTCAAAGTACGGCAGCTCATAGGCACTGGTCAGTCTGTCTTCTGTTGCCTGTTTGAAAATGTCCTGAGCACAGACACACACAACTCATCAGATGTTGAGTAAACTGTTTAATGGGGACATTCTAAAACCCTGAAGTATCTCATTTTAAGATGTGAAATACAAACAAAATAATCTCACAGAAGTAAATATCCTCTCAGAGTGCTCACACGCGTGACACCGAGGAAGTTTTTCTGACCTTGTAATCGTGGAGGATTCTTTCAGCAAAAGCCTTTTCCAGCATCTTTCTGTACCACTCCTGAAGCCTCTTAGGCTTGGGGATCTTCTGGTCAGGAGGGTGGCAGTGGAAAATGTAATCATCTCCTTCACTTGGTGGGCATGCCCAGATGTGACCCATCACATACCTGGCCAGGAAAAATTAAATATGAGCCACTTTTCAGCTACGGGCAGCGCATGTGTATGAATACACAGCTCACAGAGAATAAAGTATGCTGGGGAAAAATGATCTGTCACCCACCCAAGTTTCTTCACATATTCCAGGTAGCCTATCAAGATCTCATGGTACACTGCAGTCCTTAGCAGACGAGGCTTGAAGAAGTGAATGCTGTCGAGGTATGAAATGTAAACCCGTCTGAAAGAAAGATAAAACATTCCATAAATCAACATGAAATGGGCAACATTAATAAGCTGTTAACTGTAGCCTTACCTGGTGTTTGGAAAGGGGCACTCCGAGCCATACTCCTGGACATGCATGCCGAAGAAACAAACATCTACCCCGTCTATTTCTTCAAATGCAAAAAGTGCTTTGGTTCTGTAAGGGAAGCTCTCCATCATCTCACCTGAGTCTACAAACCTGCCAGTGAAAACAGATAACCATGAACTACTTGACAATTCCCGTCAGTAATTGTCTGTGAAGGCACCACACAGTAAAACAATCAGCCAGTAGTTAGATAACCATTCCTTACTGTCCTCCTAGTTTTATGTTTTTGCTTTTTTCATTTTTGTTAAGATGAACAACGCTCTAGGTGCATCTTACCTAGACTTCATGCCAGGCTTAACATCCACAGTTTTGTCAGAGCTGGCAACCACTCGAACAAACACTTCGCCAGCCTCTGGGTGGTTCTGCCTTTTCAAGTATTTGTTTACTCTGTCCTCAATGTATGTTCCCAACCTCGTAGACTGCAACCCTTTAAAAAATACAAAGATATTTTAAATGAATTCAAGATCACAATAATGACCATTTGATCTGATTCCATAACAACTTTTGTTTCTTTACGTTTCTTTACTATTCAATGAAACTTACTTTTGGCTGAGAATTTGTTTTCCTTTCTTGTTTTGCCAGACTTCTTTAAACAGTTATCACAGATAAAGCTGGAAATTGAGACATGACCTGGTTAATGTCAACCTGCAACAACCTGCAACCTTTGGCAAAAACAAATAACTACTGGAAACACTTCTACTGAAGCCGTTTGTGGACGGTGCCAAATGTGCCAACTCACCCTGATGGCCAAATAACATCATAGTGCAGCACACAGATCTGATGCATTTTACGTCCGCAATCCTTACATTCAAGAAACCTGCAGAGAAATTTAGAATTCTTTTTGTTTAACAAAAACACTTCTAACGAGGAGTGCATCAATCACAAGTTAAACTGAAGTTACTGTACAAAAGGTACTTACGGCTCAGAGTCCAACATGTCATTTTTCTTCTTTTCAAATTGCTCTTTTGATATCATGCTGTACAAAAAAAAGGAATATGAGAAAAAATTATGTTGGCTGACTGGAACAACAGTATGACTCCATCTTTAAAATTAAGTCAGGACATATTCTCAATTCTCAAAGAGGGTCAGGTTTTATGTTCGTCTTTTTTTTTTTTTTTTTAGACACCCAGGCCTTTTAACTTACGTCTGCGATTGTGCCGGGTCGTCCCCCAGGGTCACACTGTTACCCTGGATCTCGTTGAAGCACTTCTCACAGAAGTGATACCTGTCGGCAATAAGGCCAAATTTGGGTGAACTGCAGCCAGCACACACAGTAGCAGCACAGGCAAACCGGCGTACAGGTGGAAGAATGCAGAGTGAACGGAGTACATGGCAACAACCGAGGACCGAGCATGGGCGGACAGGCAGATGGATGGACACACACAGGCAGAGGTACAGGTTAGTCACTGAAATGGTCACGATTCAGCCACTCATTCAAACTGGAATAACAATGAAGGAAACATGGTAAAATGCCATGTTAAAGAGAGAAAATGATCCTGATCAATAACACCATTACACCACATGCTGGAAAACAACACCTCCACTACAATAATTTATGACAGAAGCAACATGCATTGTGGGGTCATGAACAGATGATATGATCATGTCAGGAGAGTTAGGGACAAAGATTTAGAAAAATATACACAGCAGAAAACTAGAATGAGACCAATTATATTTTTCTGTTTTTTTTCAATTTGAGTCCTGACACCAATTATTCAACGTATTTCTTATCCAAAAGCATCTCTGTACAGCATTTAGTGATAAGCTGTTTGACTCAACCTTAAAAACACACGTGGACTCAGTGCTGTTTTTGTGGAGATTCAGCTGCTTATTAAACAGTTTGCATGCAAGGAAGGCTGTCGACGTATCAGAATAAAGGTGGCTCAAATATTTATTACAAGATTGTGGACAATATGAAGAAAATTCTGGCCTTTTAAATGTATATAAACAAGGACCTTTTGTTCAATTGGTAAGTCTTTCAGCAGTGTGTGTGCAAAAGGGTTGCACTGGAATTTCTCTGAGATGCAACAGAACATTTAGCCCAGAAGGGGGCGCTTTGGTGCCAGATTTCTTGGAAAACTAAACATTTGAAGGCTACATTGAGACTAATAAGTAAAGAGGAGTAAGTCAGTGGTAGCTGTTTTTGGAAAGGAGTAAGAAAAAAAGAGAATAATACAGCTTCATGACACCGTGGGGTGGACAGTTACATTCTAAGCCACACCCACTGTATCCAAGCCCCACTACCTAGTTAACTCTGCACATTCAGCATGCACTTTTTACCTGTTCTGGTAGCTGTAGTAGGTGCCATCCCTGGAGATGGTACACAACTGCTTGCCGTAGCAACACAGTGTCTGAGGTGAGAACTCATACTGTGGGAAAGCCGAACAAATCAGTCAATGTCTCAACTTTAATGCCTTCCTTCCAAATCTCTTATAAAAACAACTTTTTTTCTCACCTTCCTGCCACAGCAGTAGCCCAGACCCTGCATCACAGGATCGATTTCGGCTTCAAACACCTCTGCTAGCTTGGTGCAGTACTTATAGACGCGGGATGTTTTTCGGTTGTACAGCCAGGCATTGTTGAACATAAGCCACACATCGTCCACATACTGCCATGGTTCCTGGTACTGACCAGTATCCAGCTTGCGCTTGATGGTGGATAAGTCAATTGGATTCTTCACTATGTCAAAATAATCCTGCAGAAGAGAGTGGGGACATTTTCAGTAAATGGCAAAAGAGTTTTAAAATGTTTTGATCTTGTTTTTAATGCAAAAAAATGTGTGGATGCAGGGAAGAGTCGAAACTCACAGGGATACCCAGCAGCATGGGGTCCACAGGTTGTCGGAAGGGCAGAGACTCTGGGTCTTGTCTGTAGAGCGACTCAAGTGTTGGCATCAGGGCTTGTCTCAGCTCTTCTGGCTTGAAAACTAAACAAAATACAACTTCTAAGGAACCAAGCACACACTGCGTTTCTGCCAGAAAACTAAATATTCTCAGTAAAGTGAATAACGAATGATCAGTTGCAATACCAGTGATGTTATGGATCACTCCTATTTAAAGCCCTACTCTCATCAAAAAAAGGGACACAATGTTATTCTTGCTCAACATTTTTTTTCACTGAAACGTGAATTAAATTAAATTAAGACCCAAAAAAGAGAGGATCACTACAGCACAAACCCTAAATCATCCTCCCTCACGAAGCCACGAGCTTCTATAAAAGCCTTTAGGCGGAAGCGGCTGTGGATGAACACTGAAGCAAACCGCTCTTTTATACTTTAAATTGATGTGCTGTGGACAAATGAATCAATAATGTTTGGCGAAAGTAAAAGCTGCCCTTTTAATGGACATATTCCAACCCAAACTCCTATCATATGAAGTATAGAAGTGGAAACCTTAAAATTTTTAGCTGCATTGCTGCCTCGGGCTCTGGGCTGCTTCCAATCATCCAGAGATAAATTCTGGATTATGTCAAAATGCTTGAGAGCAATGAGATACCATCTGATGAGCTTTACTGGAAGCTGATCTTTTAACAGGTCAATGATCCTCAGGTCGCTAGCAAATACACAAAGGAATGTCTCAAAAAGAACAAACAGAGCCCAGAACATTTCAGAAGTGTCTCACTCTAAAACAAAACTACTACACTTAAAGAGGAAGGAATTGGAGGAATGGCTGGACTTTTAAAGATACCACAGCAAGAGATAAGATGCACAGCTGGGAATGCTGACTATTAAAGGAGGCAAATACTACAAAAGAGTACCTTTTAGTACTCAGAAAGTCAATGTCAGATGTTTAAGAAATTATTTTGGTGGTCTTACTTTTTTTGCGGTTCTGAGTGTTGGCGGTGGTTGATGTGCCGTTGGCCCCGCCCTCCTCCTCTTCTTTGGGTTCTGTCTTCACCTCTGGCTTCTTCTCCTCAGTTTCCATTGGTTCCTGCTTTGGTTCTACTGCATCTGGCTCTTCCTTCTTCACCAGTGGAGGTTTGGTTTCATCATCCTGCTGCATGGACATTAAAACTGTTATTTAGTTGTCCTACTCAGCATTTCAAAAAGCATAAAATTAGAAAAACGAGAAAACCACAATTCACATTTACTTTTTTTAATGAAATATAACGTAAGCAGGGTAATACACACAGTGACCCGGGGTCCAAGAGGAAAATGGTTACCTTTGAATGCACAAATTTACTGTTAGATTGAGCGCATACCTCGGTTTTTATATCACTTTGTTTCTTTCCAGAACTGCTGCCATCGTCTTCATCTTTTACTTCAGATTTGGCTTCGGTACCACACTTGTCAGGCAGGGCCTGCTGAGAACTCAGCTCAGCCACAGAGCCTGGGGTGGGCACTCTGTTATCTATACTTGCTGCTGCCTGGGACAACTTAAAAAGAAAAGAGAAATGTAACCACAATGTTAACCATTTCTATCAATATGAAAATGTATAGATACATGAAAAATAACTAAGTAATGGTATTCTACAAGGTTGGTCCCTGAATGGAAGCTGGATAAGAGAGGCAAGACCTATTTCAAGCTTTAAGGAAGAACATGCGTCTCACCGGAGTGCTGGGGTGCTGCGCCTGCACTGAGCTGGGCTGCTGCATCTGGGTAGGGGGCTCAGGCTGGGGCTGCAGGGGCGTGAGAGGTTGGGAGGGGTCGGGTGGGGTGCTCATGGCTGAGGGCGGACGAGGGAGACCACTGGGTATGTGGGTCGGGGTGGAGGAGGGTCCAACTGTGGAGCTGGGAGTTGAGGGCTGTTGTGGCACCTGGGCCTGCGAGGGAGCATGGTGGTGGTGGTGGTGCTGCTGCTGCTGCTGCAGGCCGGCAGAGGCATTGGGTGGAGGGGTCGAACCCAGGACGGGCTGGGCTGGAGGGCCAGAGGGCAGCTGGGAGCCAAGGGAGCTCAGTGCATTCAGAGGGAGGTTAGAGTTTTGTGATTGCTGGAACAAAGTCGGATGTAAAATATTAGCCTACAAATACACACCATTTCAAAGACCAGGCCATGCACCTACACACAGAATGTTAGTTGCCACGTAGCAAGGCAATCACAAGCTCTCTCACCTGTGCAGGCTGTGACATGGCTTGTCCCAGACCGATATTCACATTCATTGCTCCACTGGCTGGACCAGAAAACTGTCCCTGTCCCTGTGGCAGGAATTGGCCTTGGTTAGCTTGCTGAGATACCATGTTATTAGAATGGCCACTCATCATCCCTTGTGTCTGAGGAATCCTTGATGGCGACATGCCCATCTGAGAAGTCCAAGAAATGAAAGAAGAATAAATACAAGTCTAAGCATACATGATTTCAAATAAGACTCTTTGACATGAAATGCCGACATATTCTACCACTACTGCAGTCTTTGATAGGACCTGTACCTGGAGCTAAACATAAATGCCGCTAAATTAAAGAATACAGAGGCAATGTACAGCCAAGTGCACATTGAATGGCTCCATGCCAGGCCTTGAGTTCTGCCACTGTTCATTACAGATGTTTCATTGGCAGACTTATAAATGGATTAGGATCTGCGTAAACCACAGGAAGCAAACTAAGTCATATTGACACCACTTTGTGTGATAAAGTATTAACTGTACAAAGCATTTTACATTCAGGAGTAATTGATATAGAAGAACAAAAAAAAAGGGCCAAAACTCTGCAAAACTAGAATTTGAGAGCCTCGCTGATGCACAGCCTTGTTTCACTGATAAGTCCACAGGCTTTAAATAAATAAATAAAAACAAAATATATATAAAAAAAACAAAAAATTCTGACCGCTTGAACAGAGCTCATGTTCATCTGCTGCGGATGGCTCCTGGGGGAAGGAGCCCTCGCTCCCATTGGTGCCTGAGACATCTGTGCATTCTGCATTACCATTGAGTTAAACTGATTCATTCCTGTGGGAACAGAATTAGACACAGTCATATACCTGTTGAAGATACTTGGGAGATTCTGTAATTTAATATTCCATACCCTAGTGGGCTGTCAGAGGAACCTAACCAGCTCACATAAACAGCTGAGCTCTGATTGCTCAGAAATATACAGGAAACCTGCTTCACGGATGTAGGTTTTTGTGATTGTTAAAAGCCTAAAGTGTTAACGGTGTATCCACATAAATGCATACCTTGGGGCATCCGGTTCATTATCTGATTTGGCATATTTGTCATAGGCGCAGGTCCATCTGGAGAGACATAAAACACTATTGTAGTCCTTTAAGGATGTAATTTTTGTTAAAACATTATTAAATCATCAGTAGACGTAAAAACCTAGAATTAAAAAGAGTTCAGTTATTTACTTGGAGCTCTAACAGCCTGTCCTGGGCCTAAGGAGTTGGGCTGAGGCATCCCCGGCTGCTGAGGCCCAACAGCACCCACCATACCAGGCTGTTTCTGGAGTCGTGAGCGCCTTTTCTCCTCCAGTTCCTTCTGAATCTTATAAATTTTTTCTGCCAAGAAGTGGTAGTACTCATCCTGGAGGGAGGATAAGAAAAACAAATGGCAGAGAAAACATTCAGAAAGAAGAAGATTTACTCAGCGACTGATTCTGGTTCTAATTATTGCTCTCGTCATTATGGGAGGATCTTCAGTTAAAAAACATTAGCACAATAATGCTGTTAATTGAAACGCTGTAATGATAAACAGGAGCAAGCACTGCATAAGTTACCCTGCTGTTAGCCGACTCATACATGTCACCCTCCACTTTCCGCGCATATGCCACCAGGTTCTCCATCCGCCTGTCCTTCAGAGCAGCAGGGTCTGGGGTGGGGAATATGGCTTGTACTCTGGGAGACACAAACAAAAGGATCCGTGTTAGTCTGGCGTACACGGATGCGTCGTTGGGTATACATCAACACATTTGCCTGCCGTTGGACATACAGTTTGTGCACCAGGTGGGTGCGCAGGTCCTGAGTGACGTGTTCATGCCAGGTCTTCCGTACACCTGAAGCAGAGAGAGGGGTGGCAGCGGGCAGGTTTCCAATGCCTCCAACTACTGACCCATCCGGCATCAGCTGACTGCAAGACACAATGTTATCATAGTTTGTCATTTGCACAATTCTTATAAGATACATTTGTCCTAAGGGACAGAAAAGTGGTGATGTTAGTGGAATCATGAATCACCGATTATACATTTATTTTATAGCACAGACAAAGTAGGAAACAGCTTTTCAGGGAAGTTATGCTAATGTAGAGAGGATGAGGAGTCTTACTTGTTAAGCGTTGAAGGCAGAGAGGAGTCGGAGAGCAACCCACTCTGGTCTGAAGAAGAAGCACCCATGCCTCCTCCCATCTGGTTCATTTGATTAGTGCCTGAAAAATACACCATTACAATACAACATTTACAGGATTGTACATAAATGGCCTGGTGACGATTCAATCTTCAAATAGCACCCATATTTGTCGAAAAGAAAAACAGCAGAGATGTCCTTTTTATTCCTCACCTAGAGGGTTCATATTTCGTAGCTGCTGGTGCTGAGGGCCTTGGGAGTTCTGCCCAGTTGGACCCTGACCCTGGACCTGAGCGGTGGACTGGTTCTCATATGGAAGGCCCAGGGCCTCATAGGCCCTCTGCATGGAGCTGGGGTCAATGTGTGAGGCAGCACTATTGATGGCTGTGGCACTCGGCTGCCCAGGTCCCACTGTATTGATGGCATTTGGTAGGCCAGCTCCAGGCGAACCTAGCATCGCTTGGGAGAGAATGTAATCACATTTAAGAATCTCTAGAAATGTTAAATATTTTGTTAATATTAATATATACACACACACGTATGTATGTGTGTTTATATATATATATATATATATATATATATATATATATATATATATAT